TTCCATTCTTGTTCTCAATCGGTCGCATCAACCGAAACTGACTCACACACACACACACACACACACACACACACACACACACACACATAGCCTGTGTATTGCGTGGCGTGTATATGTGAACGGAACACAGTTTTCTTCGGCATATTCATCGCATCGCATTCGAAACCGAACCAAGTGACCATAAAAGATCACAGCACATACTCTAACTGTATTATTCAGTGTCGATATCGCATGCAGAAGCAACGCAGTAGTCATTCGTATACTTTTTTTTCTCGTTCCTTCGTCAAACAACATTTACTGACAATGACAAATTAGTGTGTTCCGTTCATATTTGTTATACATTCCAAAATCATAAAGCAACGACCAGCGACGCATACAAGACGTTTTTTTTAAAGTTCAATAGATAGACGAAGCAAAAAAAAAACATTGAAGAAAAAAATAAAATCGTGTAAATATTTCAATATATTGGTAAATATTTGAAGTTTTATTGATCATTTATTTTCCACGTGTATTGCAAAATGACCATTTTGTGAATTGAGCGAGAGAGAGAGAAAAAAAAAGAAGAAGTTTACACAGTGTAGAAAAACAAAAAAAAGGAGAAGAAAAAACATTAAAGTGTATGAATTGAATTCAATATTTAAACGGCAAAGGAATTTAGCATCTAAATCACAAATACCTTGGGTTACTCTGTTTAAATAAAAACAGTGGAAGGAAGGAATAAGAGACGTTTTTTTTCTGCTTTGCGTTCAATGCGCATATATCAAATGTGCACGGCAAAAGTGAATGTTAGTTAGTTTTTGGTCACATCAGACTAGCGTGAGTGCTCAAGGAAAAATAAAGTGTCATCCATACGACGACACAGGATTTGTTGAAGCAAAGAAGAAGAAAAAACAACACCAAAATCGAAATATTTCAACATCAAATCACTCAAGAGAATTAAACTAACAAGATTAAGTCTTCGGAATTGCCTGTGTCGACGGCAAAAATAGAATACCGACACTTTGTGTTGTCTGTTGATTTTTGGATTAAACGGTTACTGCGTTGAATGTGCGTCAACAGATAGAGAGAACACGAAGTAGAGATATGCGTGTGATGATCTCCGAATCGATTTCATTAAAAAAAAAAGATTAAGTGCGAGATAAATAGAAAAATCCAGAATAAAACAAAATCAAATCAAACCAAGAAAAACAAAATAAAACATTAAAATTTAAATCGAGCACTCATCCACATTCCAACGTATTTAAATTCCAAATATCGTGTGTTTACTGCCTTGAATTCTATTTATTCACCGGTCGATGATTTCTTTTTCGAGGAAGTAACTACTCGAACCAATGAAAAATAGTTGTTGTTGTTTTCGTTGTTGTTGAGTGCGACGATAAAATTGATTAAATAATAGCTACCGAAGTGATTTATTTTTCTTTTCTTTCTTTTTTCATTGATCGATGAAAAAAAAACAAATCTGAAAACAATTGTTAATGAAATCACTCATCGCAAGAAATTCACTCGAAAAGCAATAAAACCCAACGTGTTTGTGATATATTCAAGTGATAACCACACTGAAATGCACATAGCACTTCAACTCTTTACGACGAGAGAATGAATCAGACCGAATAACGGAGAACGACCGAAAAAAAATGGTTGTTTTTGTTCTTGTTTAGCTAGGCTGACAAATATAATGATGCCAAAGCAAATCATTTTCTGATTCTTATCCGTATTTGGCCAAAAATTGAGACAGAGAACGAAGAAAAAATTACGCACATTCGAATTTTGTTGGAATTGTATAGCAATTCCATACTAGGGTAAACAAACAAAGATAAACGGAATGCTTTTGTTTTCGCCAATTCGGTTCATAAATACCGTGTGTCTCCGCACATTTGAGTGCGAACAGACGAGCGATCGAGCGAAGAAACAGATATACAACTTGAAGCCAATTGAAACGGAAAGTGATGATTGAACACGAATAAACAAAAGCGTTTTATTTTCATCGATAATTCCATATTTATTGATGGTTTCTTGTCGTCGCCCTCGTCGTCAATTTTTCGCTTCACTTTCTTATTCCTGCTGACAGTGTGAGTTCCGTATGGGCTGTGTGTGTGTGTTTGAGCGCGTGAGCGCGCGCCCGTCTTCGGTCTCCATGTAATCATTATCACTTTTCACACAGTGTTTACATTATCGCATTCTTCATATCATCCATACACTGTAATTCCGTTATTGTTCTGTTGTTTGGTTGGCCGGAGTTCTCGGCTTTCGCCTCTTCATTTCTTTCTGTTTTGGCTTGGTTTCGTTGGGTATATTTTATTTTCGTCGTAAATAAATAACTTTTGATTTCAAATTTATTTATCTTCCATGATAATTTTTCGCTTTCTGAGCGGCAAAGAGACGACAAGGAAGAACAAGAACAAGAACGACGACGACGATGGCGACGTTGAAACTATAGTTTACTTGTTATTATTGGCCACCTCTTCAATATCGACTGTTGCTGGCTCAGTCGCTGTCTGTGTTTGTGTGTTATTTATATGATGTTTTGCATTCTCATCAATTTTCCATCAACACACAATCATCAGTTATGCCGCTGGCGTATTTCACTTTTATCGTGGCTTCTTCTTCTTCTCCTCCTTTATCGTCATAGTCGTCGTCGACGTGCAATGTAACAAGTATCTTCTCACTTTTCGTGCACAAAGTATGCGCTGGCCGGTGTTGGATGATTTGCTGTGTGTGCGCTGCTTTGCATACCAAAAAATACGACCAAAACTCTCGCGGTAATTTTGTTTCGAAACAACGCAACGCCACATCGATGCCGCCAAGTACAAAGTAATCAACAGTTTTACTTCGTCTCGTCACACTCTCAAGTGCATTTCTACTGCACTCGATGTAACAAGAATTCTTTAAGACGCATTTTATTCTCCATGCACACAAAATCAAAGGAAGTTTTTTTTTTCAATTTAAAAAAAACAACAACAACATTGGAAATGGAAACGAGACGAGAAATAAAGAAAAATGTCAACAAGTAGCCTGTGCAAGTATTGACCGTCAGTGTGATAACAAATACGTGTGCCTACTGCGAACAAAATATGTCAAAATGTGTATTTTTAGCATTCTGATTGCGTACACTTCACTGGCATTCCAAAAACGACGCATTTTTTTTCTCTTGCTGTGCAAAGAAACGACTCAAAAGATATTCTAATTACACATTGATATATCAATCGAATTGTGTATGTGTATAAACCGAATCTGGTAGATGATTTTGAAATTACGCCGATTGATTTCGTTATTCCATATTGACTCATTATCATTCCATCAAAAGACAATGCATTGTTTACCTATGAAACACATTTTAAATGCGCGCAAGTGTACGCACACACAAATTCCGAATAAACAATGATTAGGTCCTAAAACAGGTCTGTAAGTCACACGCACGCACGCAAATTTTTGAACGATGAATGTACAAGTGTTATGTATGCTAATTATATTTGTCGTTTAACGAATCATTGAAATTTATTGACCAATTTGACGATTTTTTTTTTTGCTGCATTCAGGATGAGAAAAATACGACGGAAAAAATGTGTCGGTGAAAAAGAGAGACATAATTCATGTGGAAATAATTCGTGAATTGCGAGCATTTTTCCTCGACACGAACGGATTATCAAGATCTTTGAATTCCAGTGTAAATTGTTGAAAAACAACAACTATGAGAGCGAAAGAGAAAAAAAATCGCGAAAATTTTTATTCTTTTTACCGTTGGTATTACATTTATTCTCTGTTGATAGCATCGATTCATGTAAAATCCATTATTTTCAATAATAATCCGTTGTTGCTGGTGCTGTTTTTACACCGAAATCGTATATCTTCCATTTGGTGTTCACTGTAAACACGGCCACCGTAGTGCAATCTCGTTCAAATATGTGCGGTTTGTTTATATTTATCAGGTATATAAAATATAAATGAATCCGTTCCGTTTGTGTTTATCGCACATCGACCGTCAATCAACCGAGCATTGTTTAAACAAATTCAATTTCGAACACAGTTCGTTGTTGCCATTCAAATGGCAATATTTAATGCTCAATATTGAGATATTTCAAAGCTTTTTCTTTTTCACATTTGTTCCATATGTGTGGTTCTCTCTCTCTATAGCTACAAAATTAACATTTTGCGATATAAACAGGCAATAATAATTTAATTTATAGAACAATATAATTAAAGCACCCAACCAGCATAGTTTTTGTATCGATGCTCGCATTTTGCGCTCGCACGTACAAAACGTGTGTTCTGATTGTCGGATGCAAATGTATTATTCGCTTCAAAAGTCTATATTAACGTCGATTTTGCGCGCAAAAAAAAAGAACCGCACGAACGCACACGGCACACACACAGAGGCAATAATATTAAAAAAAATTCGAAGTGATGTGTGATTTGGAATGAAATGAGAAGAAAAAATAAGTCATGGCTGTCTGTAGTTTGTTAGAGTTGTCGGAAATAGAGTGCTTTCATTGTAAAAATTAAATTTGAGAGCAAATCGCGACAACGATCGAACGAACGAGACGAGAATTTCATAATATTTGCATAATCAATTGAGAGTTTGAATCGATAATGTGATGGAATGCAAACAACTAAGTAAATTCCGTCGCAATTTTTTTCAACGACAACACATTACAAATAAAATAGAAGCAAAGCAAAAGAAGAAGAAGAAGAAGAAGAAACAGCACAACAGCAGTACACTTAAATCAATTTTCAAGAAATTTATCGAAAGAATGGGCCCTACGTGTTGCGGCCTTGGTCACATTCTATCGAAATATTGAGATCGCTCAATATTTCTTCTCGCTCTCTCTATCTCGACTTCTTTCTCGTTTTCACGAATAGTTGAACATATTTTATTTGCATTTGAATCACAATTTGATTTTATTTGTTATTTACTTTATCGCTTATTTTTTCCACCTCAATATCAATATTTTTTGTGTCGCATTTTATTCATTCGTTGAACATTTTTTTTCCCTCTTTTACAGAAAACGATCAATTTGAGTAGAAAAGCACAAGCGTAAAGCGAGCAAAATTAAAAATGGGCAAAGCACAAAGCAAACGTTCTGTCGATATTACAACAGAAAACAAAGAAGGTGTAGCCATTGCCGATGGCGAAGCTGGCAAAGTCGGTAAAATCGAGGAGGTTGATCAAAAACCACAATTGAATGGTGAAGCCAACAAGGATGCTGACTCAGGTGTAAGTGATTGTTTGTTGATTACATTTCCCACGAATTTTTTTCGCCTCGTTTTCTATGAAACATGAAACCCGTTGGTTGCTCACACCTCGCAAAACCGTAACGGTTTCTTTTTCCACTTTGTTGTTCTGATTGTGTGGTCAATTAATTGAATTTTTTGTGATTTATTTCTTCTTGTTTGCTCTGACAGACTGCCGAAAAACAGGAAGAAAAGAAAGATGAAGGTGCTGAAAATGAAAAGGATGCGGCTACCGAAAAGACCGAACAGCCAGCCGCTGAAGCAGAATCGAAGGCTGACGATGCCACTGCTGCTGTAGCAGCAGTAGAAACAAAGGAAGAAGAGAAACCAGCTGAAAATGGAGAAGGAACGGAAAATGCGGCCGATACAACAACTGGCACACTTGATGAAAGCAAAGACGGTGTTGAAAATGCCGGCGACGATGCTACGTCAACACCAGTGACTGACAGCGCCAAAAAGACGAAGAAGGAAAAGTCGAAAAAACGCTTCTTGTCATTCCGCTCATTCTCTTTCAGCAAGAAAGACAAAACAAAGCCGAAGAAGGAAGAAGCCGCTGCTGCCACAACCAACGGTGAATGCGAAAAGGTCCCCGAAGAGGTGAGTAAACGGAAACGGAGAACGATTAATTTCCATTCGACGAAATTATATAATAAATTCGCTTCTCAGTCGTGAGCGTGTTTATTCGCACGTTTCGCTCACTCGCTCGTTCGCTTCGCAAACAATTTTATTGAGTGTAAACACACCACAGCGAGTGTAACAATAGCAAACATCAGAGCCTCCCTTTACAGACCGACTGCAGCCTAGTTCCAACATAGTTTACATAACATTTTCTAAACGCATATGATTACACATTAATGCACGTATGTACATAAAACCCGGCATCAAATCCGCTCTCGGATCTGGTTCTCGCTGTCTGCCTGAGCAAACCAGCGCCAATGCACACAGCGCGTTGTGGGTGTGAACATAATAATGGCTTCCTTCAATTCATTTACGTGCTAACAGTTCGGTTTTTTTCTTCTCTTCTCCACATTCATTCTCTTCAATTTGTTAAACTCGCTTGATTTCACAATTTCATCTCTCCGGAATGGAATTCAAAGCCATTTGAACCATCCTGTAATGATCTCGCTCTCTCTCTCTCTCTCTCACACTCGAAGCGAACCACTTTAATTAAATGAAAAACCCACAGCGACAACCCAGAGATGTACTCACAAATAAAAACATAAAATAAGAGAAGTGCGACGACGAGAAAAAACGGAAAATCATCGAGTTGTCGAGAGAAGTTTCGAACGATTTGAAGTGAAATTTATTGCCAGTTGCGCGCACTTACGGCGCGCGCGCATTCGTATATTTTAAGATTATAAGTTCGATTCAATGCCAAAAAGAAAGTGCAACGAACCGAGTTGGAAAATGCGTAGAATGAACAAATAGATGTATCGAGAGAGAGATGAGAACAATTAAAATATGCAGTGAGAGAGAAGCGCAACGAAGAAGAGAAAGAGCGAGAATTACTTTCGCGAGATGTGCTTACAAGTAAATAGATGAAGTTCAACGCCGATTGCCAAGAGCAACAGCCGCCACCAATGACAAAAAAACTGCATCAACGCAATCTTTTCGAACATAAGTAAAATTAATCGGCAATTTTATTGTGCGCGAGCTATCTGAGCTAGCTCTCTGAACTGACACCAAACCCGTTTCAATTTCGACTTTGCCAGCACCGTGATGTTTATATGTGCAATGCACGTCGGTTGCTGTGGTCATTACAAACGAGCTAGTGTCAATCTATGTAGAGAGTATGTGTTTTTTTTCCATTTCGAAAAAAGAAAGACGAAAAAAAAGTGAACAGCAACAACAAAACATAGATGAAAAGTGGAAAAAAACAACGCATGTTCATCTTGGTATTGCATACAAACACACTCGTATAGTTTGGCCGTGGATGGTGTTGCTGTACGAAGCTCATCAAAAATCGCTGCACATTGTGTGTGTGTTTGTGTAATTTTCTACGCACATCCGTCGTTTGTTCAAGTTCTCGGTGTGCCTATTTATAGAAATTCGCAAGCGCTCTAAACATCGAGACCCAACGAATGCGAAGAGGATATTTTAATCACCACATCGTTTATTCAATACCAAGTTCACAACTACCAGCAAAACCAAAACGCAAAAAGGGATAAAATATAAGGCATGGTAAATACAAGTACATACTGCAAACGCTCAGATTGTCAGCTCTCTATGTCTATCTGGCTCGTACACTGTTTGCACTCTCGTTCACACTTGCTCGCTGTCTTTCTCTGCTCTCGGTTCATGTTAACCGAAAACCCACTATATCTATACAATAGAGCAATATAGACGATATCGCCGGTAGCATGTTGTCTTCGTCGTCGTCGTCGCCGCCATCGTTGTGTGTTTGCCAACCGGATCAACATTCGATATACGTGCGATAGCTGTGCGAATGCACTTTAAAAACCATTTCGATGTATGGCAACAATAACCATATAAATCATCTCTCTGCCAGTGTGCTCTTGGTCGCATTCGGTTCACATGTTTTATTGGCGCAGCATTAAATATTAAAAATTGTGTGTAGGCTAGGTCGATGGTTCGTTCCTTCGTTTTGCTATTGATTTTTCTGCACACTCATATGTCGGAGCGCATTGCAAAATGTTGTGCCCACAAATCATGTCGATGAAATGGGAAAATATCATTCTCATTAATTGTTATTGCTTTTTTTCGCTTCATCCGACTTTGCTTTCCTTGGCCAACAAAAGCAATGAAGACGATAATTTTTTATTTTGCTTTTTCTCAAATTAAACCGTTTGTGAATAAAACCAAAACAAAAATGTGAATTTTTTTCCATTCGCAGGGAACTGAAGAAGCCACGGCCGCTGCTACCGCCGTCGAACCATCTGGCGATGAAGAAAAGGCCGTCGCTGCTGAACCAGTTACAAATGGAACAACCGAAGAAGTTAAAACCAATGGCGAACCAGCTGCTCCAGTTGCAACGCCTGAAGAATCAGTGACGCCACCATCGAATGGTGACAGCAAACCAATCGTTGAGGCAGCAAAGGAGACGGTGAATGAAGTGATTGTGGCCGCTTCAAAATCGGTTGACGAAAAGCTCAACGCCGTAGCCAAGCCAGAGGTAAACAAGAATGCTGACCAAGACCATTTACAAGAACAAACACATACACAAGCTCTTGAAACAAACGCCGATAATAATGAATCACACGAACAGTCACTGTCTAGCGAAAGCGCAAATATTGACACAATTCCGAATCAAAAAAATATTGTTGAGACCATCGATGAACCCAAGTCCGTTGTCGTTGGTGATGATGATGATGTGGTGGTTGATTGCACAAATAATAGTTCGAATAATGATACAGATAACATTAATTCACAATCCTCTGCACCTCCCCTACCCGATTCTCCACCACCATCACAGATCACTGTATTTGCCGAATCGGCAATGTCTGTTGATTCAAACCAAGTGGAAATTCCACAAACAATCCCTGTCATTGAAACTGAAACAAAAGTCCAATCCGTATCGGCGTTGATCGGTGACGCAAAAATCGAACTAGCACTTCCTGAATCGGCTGCTGCCGATGTCAACGCCGCCGCCGCCGTCGTCGTTGTCGTTGACGATGTTGTCGTTGTCGACGAATCCCATGTCAATGAAACGGTTACAGTTGAGGCTAAAGACGAACAGCTGGCTACGTCAAACGAAACAAACGAACCTCAATCTGAAACTGATACTCAAATCCAAACTGACAACGAACCAAACGTCGAATCTCAAATCGAACCGGAATTACCGAAACCGGACGAAGAAATCGCTGAAACAATTGCAATTCTCGATCGCGTCAATCTCAATGAGTCTGATGTAAAACCAACGGTTGAAAGCGTTGCTACTGAAACAATTAATACCGAACCTCTATCCGCCGACATATCATCTCCACTCCCACAAAATAGTTTGGATACACTTCCATCTCCGCAATCATTGTCATCGAATGTCACACCGCCGAATGAAATTGTCGACGAAAGTGCGGCCACTGTTGAGCTATCGACTGAAGATGCATCATCGTTACCGCCACCACCGCCAATCGACGATGACATTGTTGCACTCGGTAAACAAACCGAGCAAAGTGGTTCTAATGCCACCGCTGCTGCTGCTGCTGATGATGATGTCACACAAACTGCAACACAAAATGGTAACGATGATTTGCTGCCCCCGCCGCCAGCACAGGAACTTATCGACACCGAAATTATCGATGAACTCAAAACGAACGGCGTCACCCTAGCGGAACAGCAAATTCATAGTGTTGAGGCATTGAACGGCGATGGCAATTTGAATGGTTCAGCCAAAGAACACGACGAGGCCGCCAATAATGTTACTGATAAGGTGATTACAACTATCTACGAAACAAACGCCCTTCGAACTCATTGAATTTGAGTTTTATTTTATGTCTATTTTTTTGTATTTTTTTTTCTCTTCTAAATTCTTTAAATTTTATTTTAATTTTCCTGTTCTGCTCTCTGTTCTAAAACAAAATTACCAAAAGCAAACAATCCATTTCTTAATTTAATCATTTTTTTTTTGTACTGTTTTTTATATTCATTTTGCCAACCAAAAAAAATGAGCAACATAAAAAAAAAACAATTCATAAAAGCGGCCATTCACATTGTTCACATGTTTTTGCGTAGATCACATTACAATTTTGTTTTTCCTTTGATTCTGAAAAAAAAAATAAATGGTTGAAAAAAGACAAACTACAGAAGAAACGCCATAACGTTCACTCTAATTCATAATAGAGCAGCTCACGAATGGTTCATATTTTCTTTTACATTAGACTTTGTCTTGCATTTGTCATTGTTTTGCCATATTTATTTTCATACGGTGGATTTAATTGCTCGTGATCCATTCGTTTAGATACACTTTTTCTGTTCCACCTTTTCTCAACAATTGTGTTTGCTGCAAGGCGAATGACATGTGTATGAGTTTGACAAACGCTTTTTCTTCTTTTTTATTTCAATTCTGATTTTCTTTTTCGGTTCTTATCATTTCGATCGTCGACTCTGAGATAGTTTCAAAATTACTTGACTCAACAACAACAACAACAACAAAAAATCAAACAAACGCCTCGATTCGATTCAAAAGAAAAAATCAAACCAAAAATACACAGACTCATCTCATTGTTGAACGAAAAATGCAACCGTTTTTTGATTTGCCCATAATTCTTGATTTGCGTTAGATGATTGACAATCAAATATGCGGAATGAAACATTTTTCTTTGAATAGTAGACTAATTTGAACGCAACAATTAAATGCAAATTTTGAACAAAAAAAATCGACTTCATCAACAAACATAATCAAATTAACTTGTAGTAAACGAATTGATGAAGGAAAAAAAATAAAGCCCAAAACTACAACAACAACAACTCAACCTCATCTCAAAATCCATATAAAAAAACAGACACCCCAATCCAAAACATCCCCAATAATCCTGTTCCAACTGTGTTTGCAACTAACCCCATCCGATCCAATAAACGACCAATAAACTAAAATCATCGTATTAAATTCTAACCAAGTGGAAAAGAACTCGCAACAGCCAAAAATTAACCAATTGAAATCGAACAATAAAGCAACTAATTTAACAGCTCTCGAATCATTATTATTTGTGACTAACTCTCATCGAATATATATATTTATCAAAATATGGATTTATTATAGACAGAATGCATTCGTATGTATCACTGCACCAATTATATTCTTAGGTTAGCCATAATGAATGCATCGGACATTGAAAAAAAAAACTATGTGCTCCGTAGAAGCAAAACCAAACCAAAAATATATTGTGTGTGTGGAACTTGTTAGTTGTTTCGTGATAGACAGAATACCTAAAAACTATTTAGAACCAACCAAAAAAAAACGCTTCAATATTTGTGTTTTTGTTCCTTATTTCGATGAAAGTAAAGATGGTCCAACTTTTGCTAGCCACGTCAATGACTGCTCCAAAAAAGCGAAACCAAAAAAAAAAAAACAACATGGAAAATGCTATACTAAAAACGGAATTGGCACGAATTCGACCATCTTTCCAATCTATATATTATTTATATTTTTCGTTGCTTTTTCCCTGTGTATATTTATATATTTGCGTATGACGTAAATGTTGAATTGAAATCGATGGCGATGAAACTTCTTTTCATTTGCGAACATTTCTTTAGAGTGGGTGCCACTCTGAGTGCCACTACAAGTCGGCATGGATTGGAACGTTTCATCATCCTCGCATTTCAATTGTGTTTAATCAATATTATGCAAGAAATATTTGAACAAAAAAAGAGCAAATTACAGTTTAACCACTTGTGCACTGTTATCGAATTTGGAATCGAATCGAAACAAAAACGATTAACGAAACCAATCCATTTTCCATTTGCAGGCCACCAATGGCGTTGCCACCGATAACGGCGTTTCGGAAAAATTGAACGGTGACCACAAACCAGAGGTAAGTTTCACCACAATAGAAATCATTCAATCACCACCGTCATCCTCTGAAGTCAATAGTATAGAAGTCTATACCATATATCACTTCCTGTCAAATAAAGAAGGACCACCTTCATGTATGGAAGGACTGGAGAAGGAAGATGGACGGGAGATCAATTTATTTCACACAATCATAACCACTCGACCCAAGTTTTTCCAATTTATTGACCGCATCTTTCTTTCTTGTTTTGCTTCCACAGGAAATCGCCACCTCCCCAGAAAAACTAGAAAAATTGGCAGCCGCCAATCCACCACCATCGACAGAAGTTGTAGCAGCCGAATAAGTTGCATCTTAGTGTTGCAAAAAGAATTTGATTTAAATATTAAATATAAACAATTTATTATTAATTAAGGAGAAAATTAAGGAAAGGAAATTGACTCATCAATTACAAATATGTTGAACAAAAAAAGAAGAATGAAAAACGAATAACAACTAACGGGAAAGCCATATTTACACACGACACATAGGAAAAAGAACACAACAAACACAACACACACACAACAACGCAATATTGAAAAACCCCTCCGGAATGGCTAAAAACAAATTACAACTAAAAACATAATTATGAATCAGTTCTTCTTGCAATAGGGGATAGCTAACAATTGTATTGTCAATCAAAACTAAAAAAAATGTAAGCAACATCAGAGAGTGGCAACAACAACAAGAAAAAAACGATTTCGATTTTACGCTGTAAAGAAAAAAACAACAACAATGTCAAAGCATAACAACAGCAACAGAAATTTGAAAAGAAGAAAAAAAAAATCACAATATTATCTAAATATTACATTTTTATATGTATTTTGTATTCGTATCACGTACCGTTAAGCATGCATACAGAATCTACAAGTAATTACTACTAGATGAACAACAACAACAAAAGACAAGCAACGACAAGCGTAGTGAAGCATGATAAATTCTGTTTTTTTTAAACAAACACACATTCAATTTAGTATTTCAACCTTTTAAAATTGTAAAATTGCATTTTCAAAGCGCAGAAATTTACAAAACAAAACATCTCGCCTGCCCACTTGTTTCAATGAAATCTCCAGAGAGTGAAAAAACAACCCAATTATATTCCAAGTTGATGCAAGAAGAAAGAAAGAAAATCGATGGAATTCTTCTTGTGTGCTTTGAATTGATCAGTCTATTGTAGCTTTTATTTTGTTTGTTTGTTCAAAATCATTATTTATCAAGCATTGTGTAAAGTGAAACAGAAAGAGAATGGTCACAATTTATTTTTACGTGTACTTTATAAAAAGGTAGAAAGAATGAAAAGAGAAATAAAAAACGAATCGATTCGCATCAAATATATACTTATGTAAATGTGCACCACCCCAAAACATTTCAATAAAATACATACACACCTACAACAACAACAACAAAAACAAACACAAAAAAAATCATTATCCTAACGATAACATTAGTTCTACTATGTATGCTTCTTTTTGTTACATGATACAACAGCAAAAAATTGAATGTAAACCTGCAAATTAAGTAAAAAAAAATACATGAATATATTTAAAGGATACAAAAACACACAACAAAATATAAATGGAATATTATTATTTTTGCTCGAAGCTCTCTTTCTTTCCATTGGACATTTACGTGCGATTCAGATCAGCAACAATCGATTTTGCATACATTTATGGGACTAATGGCATTTTTATCACGGTCACGAGATCGCGAGTGACAATTGTATTTCCTTTGCGATGGACAAATCCGATTGAATCATCCGAGATGGAATCAACTGTTTTTCCTATGAATCATGATCAATGGTCAGAGCATTCATTTGGATCCGAATCCGAATCGATTCAGTTGGAATAAATTTGATTGGAGTCATTCCAAGCCAATTTGTCGAGAATTGCCACAGGAAATCTACCCAGTTAGATCTTATGTGTGCATATTTGCTTCGTGTGTATAAAGCCGATATGCTCATTTGAAGTCATACTTGGATTGATTAAATGCCATCTAACCGTTGTTCAATGCCTTGATTTCGCACATAAATCTATGCACAATCGATTTTTTCCGTTCAAGATGTCCGCGACATCACGTCCCTTCAAAAAATATGGAATGGAATGGAAATAAAATCTCATTCGGAAAATGGATCGCAATGGGAATAATTATTCGTTGAAATGATCTATTGAATTGTGTCAACAATTCAATCGATTGTGTTCGAACAATCCATTCATCTGTATGGAATAATCCGAATTGCATTCGAGTCATATTCTGAGATATTAGCTAATCATCGAGTAAAGATAAGAATAATTCGAATATTTATCCAATTCACATTGTGGTTATGAAAATTCTATTGATATTGTCATTATAAAAAATCGAACATATTACAAAAAAAAACGTATTGGCGTAAGCGCTTCACACACACAAAAAAAAACAACACATAATGCTAAAAAAAACAAAGAGATTCGAGATGGATCGAGAAAGGATGGCTGCAAACATTGTGCAATCGCTATAATTCTTGAGCAATTCGATGCGAATTGCCTTCAATTCTTAAAGTGATCTCAATTTTTCCAAAGCCATCTCATCGCGAGCACATTTTCGGTTTTTTTTTAAGAATGAAATTTTTACTACTTAATGGAAAATTGTTTGCGGTGGAAATATACGCAATCAGTTTGATTTACGGTTCATGCGTATTTAGGTTTAAAACAAATCGAAAACAAATTTATAGGGAAAACTACAAAGTAAGTTCCATCAGTTTGATCAACGAATTCGATAGAGAGTTAACGGCGGCGACAAAGAACGAAGAGAAGAAGAAAAAAAAAATTAAGAAACAAATCGGTGAATTGTATATTAAATCAACACGATCGTTTAATTTTCCACTTAGCAACAATGAATGATTTAATTAAGGCGATTATTAAAAAGAAGAAGAAAAAAACAGAAAAAAATAATAATAATTGTAGGGTATGAGTATAAAATGAAATGGAAATCTCGGCAAAAAAAAACAACATACACACGAAAAATTGTACTCGAACGGGCTAAAAGTCTGTTTCGACACGAGATTCTTCCCTTCTTTTTTTTGAAAACTAAAAAAAAATACTATATATTTTTATGGTTTCCTCTTCTTTTTTAATTTTGTGTAAAGTATAGCTCATTTCTACCCTAATCTAATGATAATTTGTTTTATCCAAAAAAAAAAAAACAAAGAAAAAAAAACAAAACGAAATCAAGATAGATGTATGACATATAAATAAATATGCAGGCACAAAACAATCTTTTTTTTTCTCTCATTTTTATAGCTTGAAATTTATCAAAATGAAATAAGTAAATGAAAATGGATATAAAATTTATTGAAATACATAATAAAGATAAAGAAAACTACAAGTTACAATTTTTCAATGTCCAAACAAGCGCGCGCGCGCTCACGCCGCGAATTTTGCGTCGCAATTATCAACTCAAAATACTTGCTCGCAGTTTCTGTTTTGCTTTGAATATGAAAATACAAATAGATAGCGCATACTTTTCTCTCAATCAAGCAGCTAAAACACATTAACACACAAATCACATTTGTAGATAATTCCAATTGCTGTTTTCTTCTGTCTCTCTCCCTCTATTTCTCTCATACACACATACAGAGCGGCTAAGTTACAGACACTCTAAATGCATTTCATTGCCTCAAGCGAGCACATTCATTTTTCAGCCCACTTTAAGATAGGGATTTGATGAATTTGATCACACACTCGACTAAATGTGAATAGGGTTTCATCGTCATTGAACAAATGAAGAGAAAAATGCAAATATTTAACGAAACGATGTGACATGAAATCCGATCAGAATAAGAAAAAGAATCAATAGCAAACGAATGGAGCAATTTTATCACATAAAATTTAATAATAAAAATATTTATATGAAATATAAAGAAAAATAAAAATAAAAATATCATTTTTACTTATGACATACAACAACAACAAAAAAAACTGAGCAAATATCAATTCTTTTATTCTCGAACTGTGTACTTTATACGGGACTCATGCTATGCGTTGACAACTCAACATGAAAGAAGTTACTTCTCTCTTTTTTCACACTTTTTTGTTTGTTCAAGTCATCCATCCAGACAATACAAGAACGGTAAAAAAAATTTAATACTTTTGTTTGCATGTTGTAAGACGAAGTGTGAGACACTCGTCGATCATTTCAATGAAATTTCGCAATACAATGGCATGGTAAAACCCCAACACGGTGAAGATGTTCAATGGCAATTCATTGTATTCGATGCGTAGAGACACTTTGTTAACATATCCATTTGTTAGTTGTCATTCATCTGTTAATAGTTGGCATTCTGAATATAAACCGAGCGAGTCAACGACAAATCAGTTAGTTGATCAAGATCACTGGTCGCGTGAGAAACGAAGACACTGTGAAACGTGTTAATGTACGCGAAGTGCGCAGACATTGTGATACAGAAATTATCATCATCAAACCAAGCAAACAACAGAAATTACATAACACGAGCAGAAAAAAAAACCAACAACAATAACAGCTATTAAAGGCAACGCAAAGGTTAAGCCCGATTAAGAACTACGCCGCATATAATATACGTTACGGATAATATAAAAAGTGTTGCGGCTTGCGAATAAAATATTTCCACATATAATATCTGGTTTATACGTTGCTGGTCTCTCGCTCGCTATAGCACTCTTGAAGCTATAACTTAATCGCAAGGCAAACCAGTAGCACATAAAATTGCGATTACACAGTCGTCAATGCTTTCTTCGTTTCGTAGATGATATGTGAACGACGACTAGGGCGAACGTATCTCTTTAAGTCAGTATAACATTGTTGATCGAGTCTAGAGGACCACATTCATCATCGGACAAACCATTTTCATTCATGGTAAACCGACAAAGAAGTGAAAAAAAAACTGTGAGAAGTGAAACAAAAAGGTAAATGATAAGAAGTGAAAAACTTCAGTTTGGATTGAATGAAAAACAAGTAAAGAAGAAAAAAAACATCGGTCTGGACAACCAGAAACCCATCAAAAGGGATTGATCGATAAATTCAGTGCATAAACAGAGTAATTGTGTATTGAATAAATGTTAGCCTCTGGCAATTTCTTGCGTTGAAGTGTGCAAACGTTTTAACGACGAAAGAACGAAAAGGAAACCAGATCATTAAAGTGATTGAAGAAAAGAAACGGAAATCGGTAAGACATATGTGAATAATGTACAACGAGCGATGCGAACATTTCATTAACAATCACATATTTTTCTCGTAAGAAATCTCATTCAAACTGTCATGTTTTGAAAAGAGTGTTTTTTCTCCGCTTCAATTGTTCAAAGTACTTGGAATCGTCGGTTGGAATTTTTTTTTTTCATTCAACAACCTTGAGATTACTACTATGCTAATGTGTTACAGGATAATGTAATCGCAAAACATAGAAAAAAAACGGAAGTAAGAGCTTATACTCTAAACAAGTACTCTTTTTTTTTCGTTCGGCACTCGTGTTTTGCAGTAAAAAATTTACTGTCGAATGAAGGTCACGGCTTCAGCTTGGTTAAGATTCAAATAGACCGCAATTTGATAACTATTAAATAAGTTACTTCTAAGTAACCGCTCAAAACATGTTCTGAAAAAAGTGTCCTGTTTTTTCTTGTTTCGTTCAAGACTATTTTGTCAGAGAGTGAAGATAAAATCTCAATACACGCTGAGTGTTAGATTAAAATCCTCTCTAAATAATAATTAGAGAAAAAAGCCCGATAAAATCGTAGAAAATCCAGATTTTACTAAATTTGTCGTTTACGATGTATTATAATTCTACGGTTTGTTCGAATATATTCATATCGACACGCTTTTGCAATAAAAAAAACACAAAATATATAACTGCATGATATGCTATGTACTATTCCAATGCTCCACGCGAGTTGATTTACATATATGAAGTGCGCTCGAATGTTTTTTCTCAGAACATTTCTGTCGTAGCGCTTTTGGTTACACTTGACTTAAGACGGCTGAGTGACGCCGAAAAGGTCATTATTTGATAAAATAGTTACTCAATCAAGACGAATTTAAAGCATTAACCAGGTGTATCGCATACAGCTGATGTTTCAATTTCATAAAAAGCGTATTGTTAGATTCGCACAAGTTGCAAATAGAATGAGCATAATAACGCGTTCAAATTGCGTCAAGTCAAACATTTCATATTTATAGTCCATTTGTTTCTATGGTGTCATCATGTGTGATAGGCGATTTACTCATCGTTGAACTTTTTGTTTAAACTGATGATGTGCACAAATGAGTCAATTTCTCGGAAAGTTTTAAAACGAGAGCCTTGTTTACTTGTGCTGGCGGTTCGGTTTTTTTCTACACATACAATATGGTTTATTGTTTATTGCTTATTATATTGAATTATTTGCACATTATTGAAATAGCCCACGTTCTGTATGAATATTGACTGTGTTTATGCTAAACAGTCGGCATACCGAAAGATAAAGTGTGAAAAGCATTTTTATGACATTTTAACAGGCTTGATACAAGTGAGAACGAACCGAGCCCATATGCTTCATTGTTATTGTACGGTATAATGAACTCTTTTTCCATACGTTAATCACCTGTGTGACAACACAATCGCACTGAACTTATTGTTCAGCTATAAACAAAGTTAACCGTGCAGAACGATCAGCCGCACCAACCAAGTATTGTGAATTATTGATGAACAATGGAAAAAACCTGCTAAAATTCATGTACTTATGACAAAGCAGTTACTTTGTGAATGTAACAATTTTTACATGACTATCCTTCAACTAGACATATTTATGTGAGAAATAACAAATGAGATAGACCACGATAGACCAATTAACAAATTTTCTGAATAGAAATAGAATTCCGCAAGGGGGAATTCCATACAAATAACCCATTTAATCGTGTCCGTGACGAATCGTCACTAAAAAGTGATGAGCTGACAAATCGTTGCAAATCAACGAAAATGAAAGTCATCTAAATTCCGAATAAATAATGTTGATTTTTGCCCATCAGTTTAGAACATGGGTGTGCTGAAAGTTGCGGGAGTGAGCTATTTGCTATTAGCTGCCATTTTGCTGGTATGCGCGCAGAATGGAAACAATCAATCATCAGAAGACGATCCACGGTTCGATGCTCGCGTGTCAGAACTATTAGCCAAGAATATGCTTCAGCTTTCACAAGAAATTGGTACGACGATACTGCAGGACAGTGATAGGCCAACCGAAGTATTTTCACCGTTAAGCATTTACACGGCATTAAGTATTCTATTGATGGGCGCCAATGGCCAAACATTCCAAGAATTAATGGGCCTACTGAAAATTAACAGCGGTAAATCTTTTTTTTTCATCATTTAGGCTTGTTTGGAACGTTCCACATTTACATAGAAATTTAGTTCCACATTTCGTTTCTAATTTTAGACTTAACGACTCGGTAACGTGTTGTTTTGATTATTGACGAAAAAATTGTTTTATTTTCATTAATAAGATTGAAAAAAACATAATTGAATTAATATATCAGTGCCGGTATTCTGGAACACAATCCGCAAAAATCGTTCGGAATACCGGTAACGTTCAATTCAAAAATGTATGTGGATCGATACCGTTCCACTTCCAAAAATCCAACTGAACGTTCGAAATAATTCCGAACGATTTTTGCGGATTGTGTTTCAGAATACCGGCACAGTCGTCTCTTTTTCACTTCTATTCTGAAATAAACCCGGCGCGTAAAATTTTGCATAATTTATTCTGTTTTCATTTTTATTTTGTTTCTTCTTTCTCATGAACAGACTCGTATTTGTCACAAAACACGTGGAAAGTCCACGAAGAATTATCGTTAATGATTGACGATTTGAATGGAACCATTCCGCATCCGGGCCATCGAAGACGCTATCAAGCATTATGGCGAAATCAAAACGCTCTACATGAAAATCGAAATCAAAACCAAGAGTCACTTCAGCAAATTTCCGTTGCGAATGGGATTTTCTTCCAAAATGGATATTCCATTCGAGACGATTTTCGAGATGCCATGCAATCAGCATACCAAGCCCATTTGCAAAGACTCGACTTCGCCAATAAACCGGACTTATCGACAAAATACATCAATAGGTTCGTTGATATCACATTGAATCGAATCAAAAACCGGAAAATTTGGCTTTATTTGATTTAATCTCGATCTGGTTTACGAATTTTAATCGATTTCTTTTATTTCAGTTGGGTGAACGAAAAAACTCAAGGCAAAATCAAAAAAATTCTTACAAATGAACTGCCGCAGTCAACGAAAGCAATTATCGCAAGTGCATTGTATTTCAAAGCGTTATGGGAACGAACATTTTATGAAGCAGGCACAAAGCCGTATGTTTGATTTTTAAGCTTTATGAATTTTCGGAAATTAAAAATTAATTTAAGAAAAACTATTTTCATTGTCCTCCGACAGACGTGAATTCTATCCAGATGGAATCAACCGGCCGCCAATCATGGTTGATATGATGGCCATTGGTGGTTCATATCCATTCTACGATTCAAAAGAGTACGACTGCCGTATCATTGCTTTGCCATATCGTAAGCACTTAACCACGATGTACATCATCATCCCAAACAAATCGACACGCCATCGATTACGACAATTCCAAGCCACACTAACCGCTGATAAGATTCAAGAGATGATCTCCAAAATGGAATGGAAAACAGCAATAATCCTATTTCCAAAGTTGCATATCACAAATCGGATTGATTTGAAGATGGTTTTGAAACGAATGGGGCTACGTTCGTTGTTTAGCTACGACCAAAGTGATTTGTCGTTGATATCGACGGGTGTTGAAACGCCACTAAGCCAAAACCATTTTCCGGGTACTTTGAATAATGTTGACGATAGACAGTTTCTGTTTCCGCGTTTTGACGATGTTGAAAGTAGAAACGCCACAGCTTCAACAAGAAATGCCACGCATGAAGCCGCAAAGAATAACACAAACGATGCAGCAAAACGTGAGAGAAGATCAGCGGTTACGTATAAAGCAACCAGCAGTGATACCAATGCACAAAGAGAGCCGCTTCGACTGAAAGATCTCGTGATTAGCAAAAGAATAACCAAATCCTACCCGTACATAAAACTTCGTAGTCGTCTTCGGCGCGATATTCCAACGGATCCATCACTCAATTTAAAGCGGTTGGATTTGTTGCGAACGAGACTTAGCAGTGAACGTTATCCAAATCCAGGGTTATTTGCCGATGAGCTAATTCATCAAATTGATTTAACCGTGAACGAAGTCGGCACAGAAGGTGGAGCTGCGACAATTACAACACTTAATCGTTCGGGGCCCGATATTCTGTTTCGGGCCGAGACACCATTCTTATTCTTAATTCGACACGAAGATACAAAAATACCCATTTTCTATGGCACTGTCTTCGAACCAACGAACTTTTGAATCGTTCCAAATGATAAGAGCAATTTTTTTGTATATTTTTTTTTCCTTTTCGAATCTTTTATTAGAAACAGTAAGCTATAACTTTCTCTTTCTTTTATTTATTCCATGAGTTTTATATGCATAAGTTAAGATGAATCCAAATAAAAACATTTTTTCCACTAACTAAGTGTTTTACGTACATATTAAATAGCGTTTTGTGTCGAAAACGTATATAAATGTTTGTTTGTTTTGCTATAACAAGATTGATCACAGAACCGCCAAATACCGCAACAAAATCGAACCGAATCATGGCTTATCGTATCGATAGCGAAGCTTCTCGGGCGGTTCACAATACTCTTTGATGATAAGCTTACATAAAAAGATATGGAAAACGATAATAATGACGAATATTGATATCCAAAAGAATGTCGGCAGCCCACCCAATTGATGTCCGTGTTTATGCAAGGCTATCACATGATGCTCATGCGCTGGAGCTAAATGGTGAAAGAGTAATAGTTTGATTTTAGATTTGTGAGAACAAAAAATAGATTGACATAAGTTGAGTGGACTTTTTTGATTTCAAGTCTGATCGTTTTCATTCTTAAAAGGTCACAATTACCTTCAGCAACTTCTTTGACGTGAATAGCGTGCCGTAGCTCTTCAATGTGCTCCTTGTCTTGTGTTATATATAAAATTGCAGTCAATGGTTCAGTCAATTTCACTGGGAACATTTTCTTTTCTTGCCTGAAAGTGTTGGATCGATTTTTTTTTTGAAAATGTGAGTAAAAAATCTTGAGGGCCTCAATGTGAGATTAATCCTAACTTATTAACAAAATTTTGAAAGGAAATTGAATGAAAATGTTGAATAATCTTGATCAAATAAAAATCACTTCACACAGTACTTACGACAATGGAACTGGTTCGTCCAAACATCCAGCGTCACACGCATAATATATTCCATCAGATCTATCGAGTGCAACATAGAGAATAGCCCGATTGTCGTCAGTGACTTCAATCGAAACATTGATATGCGTCATATTGCCATAGTTTAAGCGACGAAAGAAATAGTCACGATGCAAGTACTTCGGATGAATATTTAATTCTAAATGCTGATTGCTAAAGCGGAAACCTCCAAAACTAAGCACAATCGCTTGAAGAACGCCCGATGCGCCGGCTTTGATAAGATTATGACATCCCTGTAAATCAGAACAAAACCAAATCACACATAAGAAAACCGTTTAAAAAAAAACGACAAGTCTCACAAAACCGAACCTGTTTCTCTAGTGTCAACAGCCATGAGTTGACCATTTTGTTCATTTCTTCAATATCATTCATATCTTTCCATAAATTTCCTGCCTGCAGTGTATGATAACTGTCATAGCATCCCTCCGCATAGGCTAGCGATCTGAGAATTTCCTTTCGGAATTGTTCAGAACTGCCCGCTTCAAATTCGAATGATCGAACTTGTGACAGAACGGCATATATTGTTGCATTAATTTGATCACCGTTGATAAAATTATCGGCGAGTGAGGTACTGATTTGGAACCCAGTTTCCCACAGATTATTCCAAACGTTAGTATGTTGTCGCCGGAATTTGGTGTGCGTTTGTAGCTTATTCGACGGACTGCTATTGCTTGCGTCGCTATTTTCATCCAAATGGAAATTGTTCTGCTGTAGAATCTGTGTGATTGTTTCAATGGCAGCCGATTCCATGTCGTCTGGTTTTTGTTTACTTTGACTATTCGATTGCACGCCATAATGAATGACATGGATTATGTCGAGCTTTGTTACGCCTCGTGTTTTCAATGCAACTTTTGATGGTAAACGCTGACTGACAATTGTCACACTCATTTGTTCGCCATGCTTTCGTAATTCAACAAATCCGCTCGTTACCGAAAATTCGATAAATTTATTTGTTGACGGTTGCTTCAGTCTGCAAAAGACAGTCAATGTAAATAAATGTGTTTGATTGGCCGAAAATTTACACAATTCTTACTTGACGTATTTCGTCTCTGCACTCGACCAACTCACACTTGGTCCAAACGTTTCCACGTCAATACTAAATGGAGTGTTCCGTGTGTTTGTTAGTTTAACCTCTTGCACAAATACATGCGGCACAACACGATGAGCTATGGGAAAAAAACCAAGAGTTTTGTTATTTTCAAACGAAAATTGATTATTTTCAGAGAAAAAGTCAATATTTTCAACAGATTCGCAATAATTCTAGACTCGAAAACTCATAATTTTGGCTTTCATTTCATATTTCGGTCATAAAATAATATTTTTTGCTTAAAAATGATATCTTTGACTCAAAAATTAATATTTTTAAGTTTTTTTTTACTCAAAATTCGAATGACTCTCAAAACGAACTCATTTTTTTGCCTAATAAAAGAAAACAAAACCCAATTCCATCAAAAAAAAAATAATCCGAAAAAACAATTACCATAAAACTCGTGCGATATGAAAAAATCATTGCCAAAGCATTGAAATTTATGTACAACTCCATTGATGTAATCCACAACAATAGATTGCTTTCCATGTGGTTCATCCAATGCACTGTCACTTGTGTCGATATATCTAAAGTCAACGATCGGTTGATAGTTGATTGGTTGTGATAAGTGTCGCCCGTATTTCACGTAGAATTGTGCATTTTTTTGGATTTCAATGCCAAAATAACCATTTCCAACGTATGGAATATTCCGTGCGTTAGTTGGTAGAGTTGATTGACCTGTTGAGTCGGTGATATGGTGAATGTGTGCGTTAAACTCGAAGGCTTTCGAGTAAAATGGTGTTAAACGATCGTCCATACAACGCGAAATTAAATCTGAAAAAGGAATCGCAATAGCATGTTTATTACACTCACACGCTATGTGTCAATCACGTTGCGCTGAATAAACACACCGAGTAATTGCTCATGTCTTTCTTCGTGTCTCTTTTTGACACGATTCCAATGGATGGAATTTAACTTACGTATCGATTTTGTTGACGAACTAAACAGCCACGATGAAATGTACGGTCCAATGTACAAGAATATGATAGCGCATAAGAAAAGGATTAGAAGTAGTTTACGATAATTTATATTCCCTTCGAATTGACGACGCATCCGTCGCTGGAATTCGGCAAAATCAATCAGATGATACTTTCGATTCCTGAACATTTTCATTTCACTTGTTGTTGTTTCTGTTGGTTTGGCGTCACTATTTTCTATTCGTCGTGCAATTATTGCACTTTATCAGCTGGACTATTGGGTATTTGTCTCGAATCCGTCACCTCCTTACGTTCGCACACCAAATCTTATTCGTCTTCTCATGACAATCAAACAATTTCATCGATTTTTTTTTTCGTTCACGTCAAATACTGTCAATTGCTCACAATTACAATTTCCAAACGATTCGTATGCACAAAAACAAAAATCACGAGTTCCAGAAGAGAAAAATATGACTTCCGTTGAACAGGAGTGGGCCCAACCATATACGTATGATGTAGACAAAATCCGAATTATTTGTATTGAGTGTGACGGGCGGACGGCAGTAAATGTCAGTTTGAGGAGGGTGCGTTTACAAGGCGTCTGTCATATGAACGTCGTGAACACACAACTCTCTTTCTATTTTGTTCACTCTCTCGCTCTCCTCTCTATTTGTTATTGTAAATTTTTCAACCAAAACAAACCATTTCCATTGTCCCACTTTGTTTGTTTTTATTTTCAAACACATTTATAATATACCGGCTCCAATGCTTCGATAGTATTCGTACGTACCTTCGATTTATTGCTATTATTTTCATGGAACTTGGTTTTGTTTTTCTGATTCGAATTTCGTTATGCATTCAGGTTTGGTTTAATGACATTCAATCAAACTCACTTTTTTGGCACTACAAAGAAATGTTTACATTAGCCCGATGGAGCACCACTACATCTACATCGAATGTTCCTATTGGATTGTACGATCGTGTGTGTGAGCGTACAAAAAACGTAAATGTATCACAACATTGGAGAGCAGTAAACAAAGAGACATCAATACAATATTCTCAGCTGAACGTACAACAACAAATTTTGTAAGAAGTTATATTTCGACGAAAAATTTATTCCCAGTAATCAGTTAATGTCAAAAAGCACTACATGAGCTAAAATATTATCATTTTATAAACATTTAATTTCTCTAGTTTAATTTGTTATGTGTAGATTGTCAGAATTGTGAACATTGCAGTGTAAGTTTTCTTGTTTTCATATCGAGGAGATAGTTACAAAATTGGGTTTGTGAAGCGAAAATGGCCATGTCTACCGTTTTACCGTATCGTATTAGATATGCAAGTGGCAGAGGTTCATGCACAAAATGTGGGTCAGAGATTGCCAAAGGTACATTAACACTGGCAATCATTGAACAGGTTTGTATTCACAATTTCACACTATTGTGAAATTCACTCACTGTACTGGATAGAGATAGGCATTAAAACCACAAATATTTGACAATTGATATTGATACAGAGTATGACGGACGATTGTATGGAGCCAAAGTGGTTTGATCAAGATTGTTTCTTTAAACATCGTCGACCTGTATCGGAAACACTTATCGATGGATTTACCAATCTACGTAGTGCACATCAGGATGATATTCGAAAACTTCTCCGTAGTGGCATATCGAATACCACGTATGTTAATTATTCATTATAAAAAATATGAATTGGATTCTTATTTGGCTGCTGAATTATCGCATATTTAAATTTATTAAATGTTTGATCAAAATTATGAAAATATAAATTTGGTTTAGTAGAAATCCAATGGACTCTGACCAACCACCCGAGAAAAAGAATTGTCCCGTTGAAATGGAAGCCGTCGAACTGGAGAGAGAAATCAAGAAACAGAATAAGGAATTTTTCGAACTTCGTGGCAAACTCAAAGCCAATTCGAAAAAAGAAGATCGCATTGCTATTCTACAATTTAACAAACAGTTCATTCCCGAAGGAAATTCCGAGGTAAAAAGAACCATTCATTTGACAAACCTTGACTCTCATTTACAAAAGGTACATCATTTTCATAGATTTTAAATCATCTCACCGATATTCTCTGCTTTGGAGCTCTGGCACCGTGTTCAATGTGTAAGGATGGGCAAATGGTATTGAAAAATTCAATTTATTGTTGTACAGGGAACATTTCCGAATGGTCAAAATGCGTCAACACAGCCAAAACACCCAATCGTGTTCCAGTTCAAATACCTGAAAAATATCAAATTTTCTTGCGAGGCAATTTCAAAGTTCGTGCACGCATCCTCAACGATGTGCCAAAAATTAACGACGAAGATTACGAGTATGCTAAGTACTAGTATAGACTTTGTCTGTCAAGAGTCAAAGTTTAACACCTGAAATTGAACACCTTAATATTTTCCTGTTTCTTTTTTAATTTTGAATTTTCATTGTTGTAATGTAACAGGCTTTACGTGAAACAACCGCTCTTCGGTATGGAATTCATGATTGTTAGCAAATCGAAAGGGGAGATAGAAAATAAGATTAAACATATGGGCGGAAATTTGGTTGAAGAAATCCATGAGAATCTGGCTGCTATCATATCAAATCCAGCGGAAGTATCGAAAATGGGACCAATTATGGAAAATGCGAAAACTTATGGAATACATGTCGTATCTGGGGCATTTATTGACGCGATCAAAAATACTGATCCACTTCAGTTAATTGTCATGTATGATCTGAGCGGTTGGGGGCAAGATGTATGGTTATTTCTAGCAATATTACAATATATACGTTTTTGTTTCATGTCGAAATTCGGTTCTATTGCATTTTTCGTTTCAGCCCAAAGAACGATTGCCACAAATGCAGAACGATGCTAATAATTTGGATGTTCCTGGCACCAGCGGCATGTCGAATGTTCAAAGCATTAAATGGAAATGTGAGTTTATCGATTAATAATAAAAAAAATCAATTGAATTTGTTCAAGGCTTAATGCCAAATGAGGGATTAAGAGCAAAAATGTTATACAGAAAAGTTGAGCGGAAACATGTCGATGATGAATGAGCGGAAAAGGGATAGCTATATAGTAAACTGTATAGTAAACTATAGTGAACTATATATGTAGCTATCTCTTTTCATTTGACATTTTTCCTCTCAACTTATCTGTATAACATTTTCGCTGTAAGCCCCTCAAATAATGCCATATTCAAAATTTCAGACGGAAGCGTTGTTGATCCAGATTCCAAACTCGAGAACGTCGCCCATGTTTATTGCGATGATAAACTAAAGTTTTACGCAATTTTGGATTTGGTGGACATCGCTGCGAATAAAAACTCCTATTTCAAAATGCAACTTTTGGAGTCGGATAAAGAGCAAATGTAAGTCGAATGCACAGAAAATATTCAGTTTCATGGATTTTGAATGAAATGCTAAGTTAAATGATGAACATAAAATATATTTCTCCACTTGCAGGTTCTGGCTATTTGTTTCCAAAGGTCGAATAGCCACATTAATTGGTTCCGTCGACGTAAAACCATATAGTAATTTGCTCGAAGCAATCGCAGCATTCAAAAATTTATACCTCGAAAAAACTGGCAATGAGTTTGGAACGGATGTGTTTGTGAAAAAGCCGGGAAAATACAATCAAATGAATGTTGATCATGGAATTGAACGGGAAAAAGTGCTGACGGAAGGCAAGAAAATCGATTATTCATTGTCAACGTCGAGTTTAAGCCCGTCGCTGTTCAATTTGATCGAATGGCTGTTTGATGTTGACGTAATGCAATCAGCGCTAATCGGTTTCGATATCGACCTCGACAAAATGCCACTGGGTAAAATTAGCGAGCAACAAATTCAAAGTGCAATCAAACTGTTGAAGGAAATTGAATCGCTATTGCCGCAGAATCCTTCAGTTGCGTGTTCTAGAAAGATTTTCGATGCAACCAACCAGTTTTACTCACAAATCCCACATTCGTTCGGTGTTCAGCGTCCGCCGTTGTTAAACACGAAAGAGATGATTGAGAAAAAATTTGAAATGTTATACGCCCTGCAACAAATGGACATAACTTACAGCCTACTCTCCGAAAATGTCGAAGAAGGAAGAAATCCGATTGATATTCACTATAGGACACTGAGAAATACGGTCGAAATCCTTGATCTTGATAAACAATCCGCTGAATATGATGAAATAAGCCGTTATGTAACAAACACAGCACTGTCCGGCGACAATGGAGCGTTCCGCCTTGAGTTGCTTGATGTGTTCAAAGTTTCGCGTCGCAAAGAAAATGAAACATTTGCACCGTTCGAAGGAACGGAGAACCGTAAGCTTCTCTGGCATGGTTCTCTGTTCACGAATTTTGTCGGCATTCTAACGAATGGATTGAGAATTCCAGATCGCAGGTATCTAAATATAATCTCATTCAAATCGAAAAGAACGCACATTTTTCATAATTAATTGAAACTTCCTAATGCGATAGATCCCATCTAATATATATGAATCATCTTTTTCTTCACAGTGGCATGTTCGGGAAGGCCATATACTTTTCTGATTCTGTATCAAAATCGGCAAACTACTGTAAAATCGTTAACTCGACTGACAACGGTCTTTTGGCACTGTGTGAAGTAGCATTGGGTCGCTGTCTAGACGTCTTCACATATGATGGTTTCTCAATCAACAATGTTCGCAATCATGACACAGTCAAAGCATTCGGTTTTTATAGTCCCGAATCAGACCACGTACGGCCAGATGGATTGATTGTTCCAAATGGTGAACTTCAGTTCAGAAATGATCAAAGAAACTATGTCCTTACATTCAACGAGTATGCTGTATATTCATCCGAACGGGTGAAGATCAGATATCTTGTCAAATTGAAATTTGTTAACTGGCCAGTTGGCCCTGCTGCATTTGTCGCTCCAGCAATTCCCAGGAATATACCAAACCGTCTATATCGGGCGCTTCGTATACCAGCGATACCTCCGATTGTTCAAAATTTACCCAACATACCAAATCCGAACAATCCAGTAAATCCACCGAATGCTCAAGCTGTTCGAAATCCACCTCGTCAGTGGTGGCATAATCGTCGCAATCGATTGCAGCAGAATAATCCCGCAACTGGCTAAACAAATCATGATATTTTCCAAATGTTGTTTCCAACGAAATTCATTGTCCTCCGAATTATAATCTCAGGGAAAACCATTTATGTTTACTTCCTACTTTATGGCTAAGCATTACGTTCATAATATTAATAGTATTGGTAGTAAAGGTTTGCCTTTGAACTAATTTTCTTATGACTTTAAGAATTATATGTTTAAATTGACAATTAACTAAATGAACGAAAATCAACAGAAATTTTACGAAGGATTATCTCCATACAATTTAGTTGACAATTATGAAAATTTATTCAGTTTTTGCTTAAGAGGGTGAATTATACTAAACTATTGGAAAAAGTAAAAAAAATGATAAGAAAAAAATTCATTCTAACCAACAGGAATTTCTTCGACTTGTATTTCGAATATTTCTTAATAAAAAAAAATATTTCGTCGATTGTTCAAACACAAACAAAAGTTGTTTTAATCCCTTTTGCAATATTCACTGATCATCTAATTTGAAGTAACATAGCACACCGTCATTAGCACATTCTTACTAGCATTGCTTGTGCTTTTGCATACTATCAAAAGTAAAATAATCACTTTCACTGTGCATAAAAGAAAATCTCCATGTAATAACAATAAGCCATTTTTCCCCATTTTCCGGCTTGAAATAAGCTCCAATAGGGGGCGGTGCTCTACTGCACGCAAAATCCATACGTCTGTATTCATGTTTGAATAAAATATGAAAAAAGAAATAATGTTCCAAAGTGGAAAACCTTTTTTTAGATAATGAAATGAATTATTTAGTAGTTGAATGTTGAATTTTTAGGTAACAAATGTTGACTCGTGCTCTAGAATTGTGTAGTACATTTATAAACTAACAACTTCATTCCATCTCTGTGCATACGAAAATTAAGGCAAAGAATATAAGAGTGGCGAGACTCACAGTGAATGCATACGTGTGCATAAGTAAGTAATGGAAAAAAGAGAGTGGTCTGCATGCAACGCGTACAACCATCGTTTTCCACGCATTTCCATCTCATTTCATTTTCAATTCGTTTGCAGAGTGACCGGCATGCATATTCAGCATGGTACTTAGTGGGCAAAATTCGAATTTCCATATATAACAGTGAAAGCGAATGTAAACGGCATATATCCTTGAGTTCATGGTCTCGTTGACATTGAAATCTTGATTAATTCAATTGACCTTATGTGTGTGTTACTGTAAACGTTGTTGTAAACACAAGCACACACAGAGAGAAAGAGCCAATTTCAGCGGAATACATCTTTCGAAGTACACGCAAAAAGAAATCTCTCAACTGGAAAGTTCTTTGCAAATGTTTAACGAATGGAAAATTGAAAGAGTCGGTCTACAATTAATACAATATAATTTTCATTTCTTTATTTAGAGTTTTACGTTCATATTTTTTTTACATCATCCTTAGAAATTGGTTTTTCTGTTTTTTTTTTTTTACATTAAATTGGTTTTCTGATTCAATTTGAAATCTCACATGCACACATTTTGTTTTTTTTTTGCTTTATTTTACACACACCATTTTGAAATTGTGACATCGAATTACAGTACAATGCTTTTGTTGTTTTGTTTGTTAATGATTCAGACATTCAGATGATAGAACGAATGATAGAGAAAGAAAGATGTAAACACAATTAAGAAATGTTTTTTTTGTCTAAAAATTTTCTCCATACTTTCTTCAAATTGCCACACTCAGTCGAACCGTGTTTCACACCATTTGCATAAAATGTGTTTTTGATTGTCCCAAATATGAACCGATGTCAACCGATTTAACCCGTTCTCTTCCTTTTTCCCTTTTCTCTTCTTCAGCGCATAATAATACATTATATTATAGAGTAAACAGAAATCACAATGAAAAGAGTCTTGATTAATTGAAGAACGAAATCATAAGACTTGCTTTTTTTAACGTTAATCATATGTGTCTTGTCGCCTTGTAGTGGTTGTTGTTGTTGTTGCCGTCATTCCACGTTGTTTGAAATTTGTTATGATTGATGGTAATTCAGCAAAAATTACGTATTACATGAAAATAACAGTGCATTTAGAAAGTAATCGAAAGGGAGTTGTTGTTTTTTTTTTTGCTCATCAATGCTGTTGTTGTTCTTCGTCTCGGTTGTCTGTATTTTGGTGCTCGGCTTTCAAATAGTGCACGGGCACGGCGAGCGAGCGACGGGCACGGCACGGCGATTAGGTAATTTCTATGTCCTCGAATAGATCTCCGGTCCAGGCAATCGATATGCAATAGTGCTGAAATAGCTGTGTCAACAGCTCTGCCTCATCGAGTAGCTCGAGCTTTTCTATGCGTTGTATTTCATTCGATGGTAAACTTTGATACACTTGCACCATATCCCATGCTTTGGCACCATGCCAACCGCAATTTAGAAATCTATTGAAACGAAGGAAAAAAATCAACCGAAAAAAAAAACTCACAAAAGCTTAATTGTTGAAGCGGGTAGGGATAGTGGAAAATGGTGAAAATTAATGACTTACCGATCGACTTGCGTATCGAGTGTTTGGCATGCGGTTATACCCGCCAAATCACAATTACGTGAACGTAGATTGGAGAGCATAACTTCGCCAAAGCGATCGTTCATATTGACCTGTTCGTAGTTAACAATGACCGATGACGAAAAATGACTAGACAACCATTTTAGTAGATTCGAACAGTGTTCACTTTCAATATACACCAAGACACATTCGGCCAAGAACAAGGTTGGCAGCATAAAGTCCACTTCGGCTTGTTTCAGTTTATTTTCGATTTCGTCGATGTGTCGCAAATCAACACCCATCACATGATAATTGGCTGCATGCATGTCCGTTGGATTGAAACGTACTTCACCGTCTAAAGTCAACATCAAACAAAAACCCGAAGGCGACGATGATGAAAGAAATGAAGAAGAACAAAAAAAAAGAAGAAATGAACGTTAAGTGTTTGTTCAACAAAGGAAATAAAGGAACAATCTTCACGTGGTAATGTCTTTGATTCGATTTGCTCACCTTCACAGTGTATTTTCGATAGAAGGTTCTTGTGCCGTTTGATTGCCATACACTTTCTTGACGTCACCATTGGAAAATCTAACTCGATAAAGTTAGTTATCATGTGACCAGCATCGCGAAGACGCCAATACAGTGTATCAAAACCGCAGCCTAAATTTATTATTTGGCACTTGTCTCCAGTTTTCTATATCCAAACCAAGAAAAAAATGGGAGAAAGAAGAGGAAGAGTGTTAAAATATCGAAACAACACCAAATAAGTTTGTAAGTTCAACATCAAGGTTGTTGTGCAATTGATGACAAATAACAAACAACCATTCGAAATGCACACATACCTCTAAGAACTTGTCGATGCAGATTTCGATGCCCTTGACGCGAGCATAATAACCGCGGTTGATTTCAGGCGCTTTTCTATCTGTATTACTTACAAATGATCCAATGTAATCGTCTTTCCAATAGCCCACACGCACTGCATGCCGTTTACATCCGCTGGCATCATCATTAGTTGACATCACACCATCATCACCCGATGGATTAAACCTTGTTCGATCCATCATTGTCTCGAAAATAAATATATCGATTTGTTTTCACGCTTTTTTTATCTGCCACAAAAATAAATAAATATTCGACTTTGTCTTTGAGGGAGCTTATCTACGATTGTTTAAAACCAAAATTTATCGAATATTCACACATTTGAACTGGCACTATTTTCTTATTCGAACCTCGCCGTGTCAAAGTTTGCAAGTCAATTGGTTTTTTTTTCACTCGATGTGCTCACTTTTCAGTCCAAACACAGCAAAAAGAATTTTCTTCTGTCTCTCTGTGTGTGAGCGACCAAACGAAGGATGCGAAAAACAATGTGGGAAAATCTGTTTATGAAGCAATTCCTCGTGAAAGAGATGGAACGATATAGCCCGACAAAAAAAATTTTATATGTATCAATGTATAGGCGTACTCTGCTAGTCCCTTGGCGTTTACCGCGATAGCCATGAACTTTCCCAGTTGCTGATTTTTATCTTTATCTCACTTGCTCTCTTTCTTTGCATTTCACTCGTGAAATGCCTATGATTTTGACAGTTCGTTTCTCATTTTTTCTGCTTTCGTTCTGAACCATTCTGACAGCAAGTCGAAAACATTTGCCAGACGGTTTGTTTCAGTTTTCAGTTTTTTTTGTGCAATGGATGTGGGAGGGAATAATTGCGGTAGGTAATAATGAGATGAAAAATTGTTCTTTGCATCATTTTTTGTTTAAATTTATTTGCTAAAGTTTTGTTCAAAAAATGATTCAACGAAATTCATTGACTGGCTAGAAATACGTAATTGACCAACAACGCCTCTATCGGCGGGAAATTGAACAAAAAATATACATTTGAAACAGCTGCACATGAAAAATGCAAGCAATTTTGGTTATTAAATTGAAAAAAAAATTTCTTATTTGAAAAAAATATGTGGATAAATGTTGACCAATTTTTTAATAAGAAATCGTAACATTTAACGACAAATTTGATACTTGGTTAAAAATTATTCGTTTATTTTACCTTTTTCTGATAACGATAATGGTATATTTTGATTTGCCATTTCTTGATTGTATGTGTGATTTGTTTTGCACTCATTGACGCCAATTTATCTTCGGTTTATAAGACCCAGTACATGTTGTGTTTACTGAGCTACTTTGAAATCTACAGCGCTTTATAATAAGTCTAGTTGAAATTGAAACAAAATGAGCGAATATGTCATACATGAAATTTAGAAAATTTAAGTATTTCGTGTAATAAATTGTTTTCTGTTCAATATTTCGTCCTTGTTCGAAGTACCGACTAAAATACAATGTTGCGCTTAACACCGCATATTGTACGAAACCCAACCAGAAATGAATGTAACCATGGCTAGTAAATATTCGTGAAATTGTCGACTATAAAAAAAAAATTTTTCTAATCAAACAATTGATAAATCGATGCGGTGATGAATTTTTTAAACTACACCATGGCTCATTTTCCGATGTATGTTGATATGAAAATTCGTTTCGCGACTATTGTTTGTTTCAGTCAACAACTTTAAGATGTTTTTCCAATGAGAAGAGAGATTTTTCCAACTTTCCTTTGAAAAATGGGTCATTGTGATTATCGCAAGAAGCATTTTGTGCTTGAGCAAAAAGCATTGCAAAAAATGTGCTTAAAAGTCGCGATTGTCCATCGAAAAATTCAACTGTTGATCCCATTTTAAAAATTGACCTTCGCAACCGATGTTGTTTAAGGGTTTGTATTTTTACCGTGACGTTGCAGAATACGTATATGATATCACATGTGTGTTGAAACCGGTCAGAAGAAGCGGTGTGAAACTGAGTATGTTATGTGTTTGATTCAACGCAACCAACGACACCCTCACAAATGAGTAAAAAGTACAACGAAACGTCTGACGTATTCATTGTACGAAAATAGAACGTTTTCATTCGTCGTTATATGACGATCCTCCAAATAACATGTGTGCAAAATCTTTAGTATTGTTATCTTCGAGCAATGACATTCGAATTTCGTTACATTTCGATAGAAGTATTTTTCTTTTTTTTTTAATTCGTATTTTCCTGTGGGGAAGAATATTTTTCGCTTTAATAGAATGTAGAAATATGTTTTTTTCATATAATTTTATGGAAGTAACAAATACTTTACCTATTTAAAAAAAAAATCCGAATTTTTTTTCCAGATATTTGAGCACATCTAGCAAATTGATGAATGAAGTACAATCGAAACCAGCTCCTGCGAAAAAAAAACCACAAAATGCCGTCGTTAATCAGTCATTTGTTGTAAAACTCTTCAGTGGAAAATTCTAATCGTCGCAAATCTTTCCATACCCAAACAATTTGACTTCTGATCAAAGTCAAACGCTAGAAATGATTGTTGAGCCATTTAAAACGATTCTTTATTGTAAATCAATATTGATGTAATTTACAACATGAATTGCCATCCCTTTGGTCCATACGTGGATTCCTTATGACATAGAATCAATTTAAAAAAAAAATTGCACCGCTCAAGGTGTGGCCAATCCTAATCCACTTAATATTTAAGAAAGAAACTAGGAGAGAAATCAATGACACATTAAAATATGCAGAAAAATTTAAATTTTAATGTTTTGTATGAAAATTTCAAGGGAAAATAAGTTAAAATTGATACCATCAATTTGTTGGAATATTGTCTTGTAAGGACATGTGCACAATAAATTATAAATTTTGATTGTGATTTTCAATTTTATCACAATTTTATCACTCTTCAGAGAGAATGAATTCGTCTAATTATGTCAGATCAAAACGTGACATTCTTCTGCGTTTGAAATAGGTATTTCTAATGTATCAAAAAATTATGTCAATGAAAATGTATGTAATGAAAATCGACTATCAAGAGAACGCAAACAAAACCACAAATTTATCATCTAAATCAACAATTTTATCTCTTCATTCCTAATCTCAGAAGGTAAAGCCAAAAATAAATTGTCACTTGGCGCGTAAAACAAACATCTGATTGTTGATGTATGGTCATGCCACTGGTGGCGAGCGATAGAACTATTTGAAGTAAATTGTGTATTTCTTCATCTTGTAAAATTTTGTTCCGTCGATTCAGTTCGATTTCTACAGTCTTTCTCATCAGTTTAACTTTCATTTTAACCAAAACCAATCGCGAATTCCGAACGAGAGTAATTTTCTAAATCACATTACCATTTACACAACGATCATTTAGTACAAGTCAAGTGTCTTTCATATATTTATTGTAATTTTCACGTTGAATTCTATCGAATTTCTATAAAACAAAAAATGTTGCGTTTAACCAGTCAAATTGTACGAAACCAAAATAGCCTAGTGGCTATCAATGCTTCAAGGTAAGCAGAATATTTTTTTTTGTCGAAAGTTCAATTCGTTACCGTTCATTTCCGTGTTTAATTCGCAAGATGATAATCGAATGTTCAAAGCCAGACGAACGAAAATGAGTTTTAAAAGAGCATAATCAAAATCAGAGACGATATGAAAAATATTCAGGTCAAAATTCCGTCTTATTGAAGGTTTCACACGACGTTTTGTACTTTGGACTTTCGATTAGATTTTAAAAAAAAACTTAATTATTTCAACATAAGGAGTTATTGTAATTCACTGCAGTTGTCATTGTGTCGGACATTGTATTTGCAAATTCAAGTCACCCGTTTTTAGTCAATCAGACTTTCCTAATGGAGAGAGAAAAGAAAAGAACTTTGGAACTGTTTTCGTTAACACCGACACACATGACGTTATACGAAATATCTATATAGGTTGAATTCGTGTCTGTGTTTTCATTATTGAAACCTGTTCAAATGATATGCGGAGCACCGCTATGTGTTGTTTATGTTTATTGATTGTTGTGTTCCGTAGTCGACTAACACATGCACACGCTAAGTGTATTTAGATAGAGTTTGACTCCCCGACAAATGACTTTGTGATCGTGAAAAACAAAAACGTAGGCATATTCATCGTTGCCGTCAAAGCAAAACACATTTCTAACAACAACAATTTTGCTTTCTCGTCGCGACTTATTCATAGATTATCGCATGAAATTGTGTCAAAAATTCGCGATTTTATTATTTCCACTCATTCGTCAAAATAAAACACTTTTTTTTACTTATGTAAGCAGTAGAAGAAAAAATACACACAAAAAAAATCTCGTGATACGCGCGAAATGAGAAATGGTTTGAACTTTGATAATGATTTTTTTTTCATTGAGGAATTTTTTTATTGAAAACTTTTTTTTAACAAAAATTCATGACGCACTTTCTTTCTTTCTTCCTTTCTTTTGTTTTTTTCTTCTCTATCCAAACAGATGCCTGGCCACGGCTGCTAAGCTAAATGAAGCACCACCGAAAAAGCCGAAAGCGGATAAGGCCATTGCGCCAAATAAATCGTTTGTTGCCAATTTCTTCCGTGGCAAAGTTGAGTCTTCTCAAGTTTTTCCATATCCATATAACTTAACCGAAGAGGAAAGAGAGACGCTAAGCATGGTCATTGATCCCGTAACACGATTTTTTGTGGTAAGTTGAAGCCACTTGAACTGATAAGAAAATCAAAATTATTTGGTTTTTCGTTGTTTTTTTCAAACAACTTTTATTTCACAACAAAATAATCTAATCACGTGCTTCAATGTTCAAATTTCTAGGATGTAAATGACCCATTAAAGAATGATGATGCAGCAAACATCGATCAAAATACTATGGACGCATTGTGGGAGCTCGGTGCATTTGCCATTCAAGTACCGACTGGTGAGTTATCATTTTATAACCAATAGAAAATATAAACCCATCGATTGTTGATTTTTCTTCCGAAATAGAACTTGGCGGAATGGGAGCCAATAACACACAATACGGTCGTCTGTGTCAAATTGTCGGTGCAAATGATTTGGGCGTGGGTATCACTATTGGTGCTCATCAAAGTATCGGTTTCAAGGGTATTTTGTTGTACGGCACCGACGAGCAAAAGAAAAAATACTTGCCACAATTATCAACTGGCAAAGTGGGCGCTGCGTTTGCATTGACTGAACCGGCATCAGGATCAGATGCTGCATCGATTCGTTCACGTGCAGTGTTGTCGCCAGATGGCAAGCATTATATTTTGAATGGATCAAAGATTTGGATCTCAAACGGTGGATGGGCCAACATTATGACAGTATTCGCTAAAACCGAGGTAACCGATCCGAATACCGGAGAAAAAAAAGACAAAATCACTGCTTTCGTTGTTGAACGTGGATTTGGAGGTGTTACCAATGGTCCACCAGAGAAGAAAATGGGCATCAAGTGCTCAAACACTGCTGAAGTTTACTTCGAAGATACCAAAATCCCAGTTGAGAATGTATTGGGCGGTGTTGGAAATGGATTCAAAGTTGCCATGAACATTTTGAACAACGGCCGTTTCGGTATGGCTGCATCATTGTCAGGTACAATGGCTGCTTGCATCAAAAAAGCCGCTGAACATGCATCAAACCGTGTACAATTCGGCAAGAAGATTGAAGAGTACGGTGCTATTCAAGAGAAATTAGCCCGCATGGCTCTTCATCAATATGCCACCGAGTCAATGGCATTCATGATCTCGAGCAACATGGACGCAGGAAGCAAAGATTACCATTTGGAAGCAGCCATTTCAAAGGTGTTTGCTTCGGAGTCGGCATGGTTTGTTTGTGATGAAGCCATTCAGATTCTCGGTGGAATGGGATACATGAAACAAACCGGACTGGAAAAAGTGCTTCGTGATTTGCGTATTTTCCGTATCTTCGAAGGTTCCAATGACATTCTCCGATTGTTTGTGGCTTTATCTGGCATTCAATTCGCTGGTGCTCATTTGAAGGAATTGCAACGAGCATTGAAGAACCCAGCAAACAACCTTGGATTGTTGTTCAAAGAAGTTTCGAAGAGAGCGTATCGCAAGGCTGGCATTGGTGGAGTTGATTTCACTGGCTCTGTTGACTCAAGCCTCGCTGATTCGGCTAAATTGATTGGTCAGGTTGGTATCGCAAGTTTTTTCATTCCACAAAATAATCTTCTTTTTTCTTTGGCATTTCAATGAATAATTATTACTCATTCATTGATTATAATTCTGAATTTGCATTTATAAACATTTTTTCTCTTCTTTTTTTCCATCTCTTCATACAGTCAATCGACGCCTTTGGTCAAACTGTCGAGAGTTTGCTCGTCAAATACGGTAAAAACATAATCGATCAACAATTCCTCCTAAAGTGCTTGGCTGACCAAGCCATCGACATCTACGCCTCAGCATGTGTGTTGTCACGATGCTCACGATCAATTGAACAAGGCTTGGAATCAGTTGAACACGAGAAACTCCTAACCAAAGCATGGTGCACAGAAGCTGCTGAACGATTCATAAGCAATAACAAGAAGATTCATGACACACGCTACACGACAATTTATCCAAAATACACACAAATTTCAAAGAATATTTGCGCCGCTCAAGGCGTTGCCAATTCAAATCCGCTCAACGTTTAAGCGAATAAGTTAATTTATTTAAGATTGATGGTTCTTCTTCTGACGAGAATATTTCTTCTTTTGTTCTAATATCCTTCGGGATAAGTTAAGTATTATAAATACAAATGGATCACATATCCGGTTCGGTTCATTCTTTGATCCATTGATGCCCTTTTCTCTGTGTGTGTGCGTTTTTTTGGATATATTTAATAAGATTGTCTTTCAAATGCCAGAAACCACTTGTATATTAAATAAATTGTATATTTTGAGTAAAGATAAATTACACATGTTTTATTCTTTGTATCGTTGTAACGAGACACCCGATATCGTTTGCCTTGGTAAACAACAATAAATCACGTCATTAACATGCATTTTGTAACCGACCTTAATATTTGTATGTGAAGCCAAATAATGTTTCAAACTTGCATGTGAATGGATCTTAATGTGAGTTTAATGCCATGACAACGTTTTCAAATGTCAAAGTGACTTTGCTGTTGTACGTACCGTCAACACGAATCAAACAGCACAGTTTATTACACTCAATCTTATATCAGATAACAAAATTATCACTGTATTTTTCAAGTGAGTAAATGATTTTTATTTAAGATTGTCGTGCATTTAACAAAGTTACCAAAAAAAAAAATTCCACAAATGAGTTGTCAATCGAATTTTGAAGTTTTATTTATTTGATTTAGCATTTGGTGTCGGTGACGAACAGCTGATTAAGGTAAATGGATTATTTAGAAATATCACATTAAAAATTAGGTGTTTTACTGCGTTTTAGGTATTTATTTTGACAATTCTGTGGTGATTCGATAAATGATTTAATTTTTCTTTTTCTATTTTCATAAAGTTTAATGTCTTTATGCTGTCAAAATTTGCTTCTTTTAGTGCATTTGTATGATACAATTTGCTTGGTTTACAGACAACTCACCAATTGTTTTATAGCCAATTGTGCTAGTCATTGTGATGAGTACATTGTGAAATGAAATTTATAGTTTTTTGTTATTTTACTCATAGGTCGTGCCATTCGTTCTCCATTAATTGGATCGACGTTCACCATCCGATAGGAAATCTCCTCGTAATGGGTACACGACCGGAGAATGTAATTCATGTAACGGGCTTTGGTCCATTTCGTAGCTTCACAAAATCAAATCCAAGTTGGGAGGCGGTTTCATTGTTACCCGATCACATCGTCCATAATGGTCAACAAATTCCAATTGTGAAACACGAAATTCCCGTCACCTATACGGCAGTCGATCAGAAAATCAAAGAGATTTGGGCCAGCAAACCCAAAGTAAGTCACAAATTAAAGTGATTCGCAACTTTCTATTGGCAAGAACAACTTGATTTAGAATCTGATTTTGGAAATCAATTTTATTTTTAATCAGATTAGAACCAAAAAGATTCAAACCGAATCGAAGAATCATTCGAAATGGAATAGAAAGCATATTGAATCGTATTTCTCCAGACACATTTTTTTCTATGTCATGAATTGTGATTCCGCCTAGTCAAAAATGACTTAACACAAGATTTCAAAGTTTGTTGTTTCTTTCAGCTTGTCATACACTGCGGTGCCCATGCGAAAGCGGATAAAATGTGTATCGAAAAGAATGCATTCAACGGAAACTTTAATGAGGCTGATTACACCAATAAAATGCCCGTCAGTTGTAGTGTGATGCTACCAAACGGCGGAGTCGAGTGTGAAAAATTGTGTACGTCATTGGATTTGCATCATATTCTCAACGAAGCCGAAACAATCGCACCGATTAAATGTTCGAATCATCCGGGCAAGTGAGTCATCCGAACGTCATTTTATCGCCCTGCATTTAAAAATGCAACGCAAATAAAACAAGCTAATGTCATTTTTGTATTTATTGCAGCTATTTATGCGGTTATATTTATCTGAAATCATTGGATATGGATCGAACGCGAAGCCTATTTATCCATGTGCCGGCACCGAGAGAAAATTTGGACGTACCACAGATGAGCCATGCAATTTTAACGATCATTCAGAATTGTGTTAAGCAGCTAGATGCAAATGCCAAATGAAAGTTCACTTGTTCCTAAATTGTTAAAGTTTTTCGCAAGAAAAAAAATTGTTATTAAAATCGCCATAATATTTTAGATGAATTTGTGTATAAAAAAAGAAGCCGAAAAAATTATCTTAAAGTAAATCGAATTCGAAGTAAACAAAATCAAATGTTTGAAAAGAGTAAAATGCTCTGTGGGTATCATTCCGTGAATTTGAAATTAGTCATGGTGTGGAAAATTGGCGGCGAATGAGGAAGAGAGCAATAAACAACATCGTTGAGAATGAGCAAGAATTTACAGGTTTCCGAATGAGAATGCATATTAAGTGGTGTGAACATCAAAAGAGTCGGAATGATGTAAAGAGAGAGAGAGAGAGAGAGAGAGAGAGAGAGAGAGTGAGAGAGAGAGAGTGAGATAGAGAGAGAGAGAGAAGAATGAGCAGTAAACGGCAACAGCAGCAGCAGCAGTTGATGCAAGAACAGGAAAGTTACATACGCACACACAATTGGTAAGTATGTGGCTGTTCGGCGGAGGTTTTTTCTTTACAACGTGAGATAGAATGAGAAAGAATGCGCTAGCAGAGAGAGCAAGCGATGAGCACAAAAGAATGAAATGACAAAACGTAATAAGCCAAAATAAAACTTGATCGGTGCGCGATGGCATAAGCACGTAAACTCCCGAGAGAATCTCAATGAGAAACAGTTCTCATTGAGGTTTCAATTAAGTTGGGTGTGCCTTTGCGTGTCAACATTATTCACACATACATAGAAGATATTGAACCGACAAAAAGAAGCAAACTCGGTTATTTCATAAATCTTTTGTTTGATTTATTCGATAAGACGCACAGAATGTGTTAATATCTTTTGGTGAGTGTACAAACGAGTCAACGACAACAACAGCAACAACGAAAAATTTTGAATGAGTGCAATAGCGATAAAACTGAATCGATCAAATGTTACTTCATTCGATTCAATTCCAGCTATATCATTAGTTACGCTGATTGTGTGAGATTCTGAAAAGGGAGAGAAACAAATTGTCGTTACATTTTAACGCTTCGCCACAACGCGGCAATGTTTTCAACGGCTCAGAACAACAACAAAAAAACTTTCCGAGTAACGAACGATTGCTGTTGAAACAATCATCGGGATTGTTGTGAGTTTGTAATTAAAATGAGACATATTCATTGGACGTAGTCGGCTGCAGTCAGTGCTAATACTTTTTTGTTTCCACGTTGAATTTTAAACATTTCATAATTCAACATCTTTTCATTGATTCTCTGTCTCTTTTGCGCGGAATTTCACGGTGCTCATTGTGCCGTCGGCGCTCTCTCATTTACTCGCACATTCTCGGTCGCCCCAATTTTTTTTTTCGTACGTACGTTCGTTCGTTTCCAGTGTGTGTTCCAGTCGAATAAAAAAACATCAGCGTTGGCTTTACGCTCAATAGCTTTTAATGAAATGAACGAAACAGAGAGAATATATATTCAAGTTTGTTGTTGTTGTTGTGTGTGCCACCGCCGTTGCTTGCCATGTATAAACACGCGAAATGACTATAATAACGTTGGTTCGATTGTTTGTTGTAAATGATGAATACACACAGCGAAGAGAAGCAGAAAAGTACGCATAGAGAGAGAAAGAAAGAGAAACAGTAACACATTTAAAGCCCAATACAGAAACTAAAAATTTCTTTATCGTTGTATGTTTACAGGTCACTTTGCGGTTGGTGTGCTAGCATTCGTGTTCAGGTAACGCAAGTGGATACCTGTTTTATTTCTTCGTCTGTTCATCGCTACAGCTTCGTCTCGTCAGTGTGCCGCATTCTGTGTTTTTTCGGCATGAATAACTTTTAATATTATTATTTAAACTAGCCTATAGGCTATGTATACATTCATGGCGTAAGCGTGTGTGAGTGTTCGTTTTTTTTTCTCCACCGTCAGACTCAATCAACAACAAAATTTCCAACGACAGCGAAATTGATTTTTTTTTTTGCGAAATAGCAAAACATTGTGAATTATCCATCGAAGACAGCAACAACAACAGAAAAAAAACGACATTTACTTGGAAATTAGCAATAGGTTCGAGCACACGCAAAACATTTGTGATAAATAAATCTGTATTTGTGCTTTGTGTATCGTTTTGAATTGTGTTAATCGGCCAATATTTGTGGCATATATATTTATTATTATCGATCTGTGGAATGTTTCCAGCTAGATGTAGTGATTCATCTAACGTAAATCAAGAGCAAGAAAAAGTGATTGAAGTGAAAATACGGTTTAATCAGCAGCATTAAAGTTAAACAGTTTTATAATAAGTGTGTGTGTGTGTTGGAAAAAAGCATAATCATTAAAAAGTGGCAAGTAATCAATAAAATGAGTGGCAAAGACGAAACGGATTTAGTGCAAAACAAAGAGTTATCGATGGAAAATGCGACGACGGCACAATCGATGAAAAGCATCAATCACGATCCAAGCAATGGTGATACAGCACCAGTGAATGGCGATAGTTTGACGAATCCAGAGGAGACGAGTAAACAATCGGCCGTTGAATCATCAACACCGAAACCAAGTACACCTAGCAATTGGGTGCAATTCGAGAACGAAGATGACAGCAGTGATAAGGTATACCGAGACAAAAAAAAGTCTCATTATTATTAGACCCATTAATTATATCTGCGTCCAAGATCATTTGAATCAACACTTGTTCTCCTTGCTTATCGCATTCGCTTTAATTCGCTGTAAATGGCTCAGCAAACACACAAACACACCATTTTTTGCCTCTTCTGTTCATTCTGATTATTCGTATGGTTTCGATGGGAACATATGTACTGTGTAAACACCACAAGTAGGATACCTAATTTATTTACGCGTCTCTCCATCTCTCTCTTGAGAATATTTATTTTAACGACAATAGGCCCACGAAAATAGGTGGATTATTCATTTCGATTTTGATCGATCAATCGATAAGAAAATAGTTGGGTTTTTTCTATCTCTTGAAACTAAATCGCCGATATGTTTCGAAAGAAAATTTTCCCATTAAATTCAAATACCTTTACTCATCACTTGTTGTTTTGGTTTGCCAATTAAACTGCTTATTATACTGGATGGGCAGCTCATTATGGAGTAACAAGGGCTGATATGTTACATATTATGTATGTAAAACTAACAAGCCCTTGCCATGGAAAACACATTAATTCAATTGCCATAATGACGATGAATGCAAATGTGTGTGCGTGTATGTCTGTGTATGTGGCCTTGATTGCGACACTCTCTTTTTGTGTGCCAATAGCCTCTGGTGAAATCAATTTGGACATGTTCTCGTTTGCTCATCAATACACATCGCCTCGAAACGTTAGTCAAATATTCATCATTGGTCTTCAATCCAAATTGAATAAAAATGTCAAATCAAGCGTATATACATATATATGGAAAGAAACGGGAAAAACATCCATTCTCCACCATGCTTCTGTCACCTGCTTTCGAACGGCTTGATTTGTTGTGGTAAATTGCGCGCAAAACAACTGGAAAAATGTGTTACGATGGTGATATGAATTGAGTTTCGTTTTCGTTATTTCGCTTCATTTCATCAGCGACATTACGCCCAACGATAACACAGTTAGGTGAAAATGTGGAAATGTATAAGCACCTATTACTCACGTGCACTGTAATTTATGACATAGCTATATAGGTAAAAGCAATAGCGACTATTTGTCCATGCATATGGGATACGTGTCAGCGGTGAAAGTCATTAACCATTCATTCGTTTTGAAATATATTTCAATTACTTCGAAATGACACAAACAGATTTTACGGCATTAAAAGAACATAAATACGTTCTTAGTATTCAGCCGTAATGGTTTCAATAAAACAATGACCGGATGATAAATCAAACGGTCAACAAAGCAGACACAAATCAATTTTTGATGAATTTGAAATATTTATTCGAACATAGTTTCATCTCTAATTTCAAAGCTATTGTTTTACCCGTAATTTAGAATGACATTCTGATGATTGATACATTCACCAAAATTTTGATTATATTTCTGTGGAAAGTATACTCAAGAAAAGGAGGAAACGAAGTTAATTCTTATATTTTCCCGATTAGAAACTGGTAAAATTAGAACATTTTTTCCATTTCAAAGGAAAGAATAAAGCTCCGTTCCCATTTAAAATGCGCTTTCTACACTTTAATTTCAATTTTAAATGTTCCCATTATGTTGGCATCAAATCACAACTCTTGCTTTCCGACACCCAATCAGCTGAATTGCTCTTTTAGGAAAAACTAATGTCAAGTGCAGTTGACATGCATTTTCCGTTGACGCATTCAATTTGTTGTCATCAAATGCAAAAAATGGTAGCCTATGGAATATGGCTAATATTAATTCACGTGATTGTAAACGGGTGCTGTCTTGAGTATTCTGAAATGATTAAGATCGATGTGATCATTTGTATGAATCACTATATGTCACATGTTGGTTCTATTCAATTCCAATAAATGAGAAAAACAACGTAGAAATAGTGTAAAAAGAGAGAGAACCGAACGAGTTTCACCAATTTGGTTCGCTCCATGACATTACCCGGTAACAATAACGGGCTTTTGAAATCTATTTATGAACCCTGAATGTATTTGTTTGCGATGGAATCGAGACTTGTACAATAAAATCACGTTGGTACTCACGGCCGGAAGTAATTCCACGATTATAATCATACAATGATTTCAATGATTATGGTACATTTGGATGAGATAATGGCATTGTAATTGAATTTCAATTCATGATTTACATTTGAAAAAGTTACAATTTTGTAAAATTAGAAGAAAAAAAGTTCGCATAAATTGTTTCCAACTCTAATCATTTTTTTTCTTTTCTCTTTCCCACTAAATTGGTCTATTAATAGCATGAATCTCCGAACAAATACAAGCAAAGTCCAGCACAGGCAGCATCGTCGACGAGTGCATCGCAACCGCCGCCGGTTTTAACCACCGAAAGTGTTCATATAAATATCAAAAATCTACCGTCATCACAAGTAGCACAGAAGCCATTAGCCACGTCTAGTCCAGCGGTAATTGAAATCGAAACGAAGAATAATCTCAATAAATCGGTGACCACGTCATTTTCAACGCCGACACCAACGCCAAATGAGCAAGGCCTGCGAACAATTGAATTGTCATCGGGTCGGGTACGTGAGGGATTTGCCAACGGTGATGTTATTGTTACATTGCTTCCAATCAACACAAGATGGCCATGGATCACGCCAGCTTTATTTCGCCCAGAATTAGTTCCCGAAGAGCTTATGGCACAAGGATTGACGGTAGAAATATTTCCAAAAACAGCATTTCTTTTCTGTTTTAAAAAGAGATTTTAAACAAAATTTCCATTTTTCAACAGCTTACCGTCGAGGAGTATGTTCATGCCATGGAGACATTGGTCAATGATTTCCGATTCACTCTATACAATGTATGCTACAAGCGCGTTCTGTTGTGTTGGGTTTTGTTTGCTTTCTTGGTGTTGCTTGGCTTGCTGTTCTCCGGATTGAAAGGGATTCCACTGTTCAGTTTGGGTGTTGGTTGGTTGTTCTTGAATGCGGCAGCAATTTTCATGTGCATGTGGTTGAAACTAAGGTTGGCCCGTGGTTTGGAAAGATGCCTTGCATCAGTGAACAAGCAGCTGATCAAACACAAAATCATTTTGGCGCTGGACGATCGCGGTCGAATATCATGCCATAAAGTGAATTTATGCTTCATGTACTATGATCCCGAGCAATGCGTCAATTATTTGAACGATTTCATTGAACGATGCGAACAGAATGGGAACACAATTGAAGCAGGATGGGAATCACGCCTTGATGTTGACGTTAATGATATTATCATCCAAGGCAGTAACACGACTCGAGTCTCGAAACGAAAGGTATGTGTCACATTGAGCATTTGCATTGAGCATTTAATATTCATACAATTTCATCCTTGTGCTTTGTCCAAACGAATCCTTTTAATCCCATTTTGCACGGCATTTTTTTCGATAGTTCGATTAACTAATCATCATTTCATTGTTTCAAAATTCATTACATCTCTTGCTGTGCTTTCATTTCAAAATTCATTTATCACAAGAAAATATCATCCAGAATTTCGCTTTAAGTTGCTTCATGCATATCTTTGGAAAAGAGAAAAGAAAAAACGTGGCAAATATTTTTTGTTTTTCCTCCGTGAAATAGGCGGTGGGTGAATTACTCTATCTTCGGTATCTGGGACGGTGGGGTAAAGATTACCTAAGAAGAAGATTGGATTGGATTTTCGAGGAGAATGGAATGCATGAGATGCCACGCCATTTGCAATCATCACTATGCCCATGCCAATACGCCGAAGAAATGATATTGAATAAACCGCGGAAAGATGAACGTGCCTGTTGCCCGAAATGCAACGACTGGTTAAACTCGCACGGCATTTCGTTATGTTAAAACAGAACAGAGAAACACAAACATATCAGCACAATGTTTTTATTTACCTAAAAGACGCCGAGTTTAGATCCAAAGAAAAATGTTACTTTTTGCAAAATTGATCCATACATTGAAAATGAATCGAAAATTGAACCATTCCTTGAACTTGAAATGACAGCCATTCGAAAATCGAATGAAAAATGCTATCGGCTTTTACATTGAGCTTCCGAAAAAATAACCCAAACAACCAACCTTCAAACTAATCAACTGTATTTTACAACTAACACATACACACCGACTAACACCGTGAATGTTGAATGTCATTAATGCTCTCGTTCATTTTTTGTTGCTATGTGTTCGTTTATTTTTTCTTTCTCTCGTTAGTTTCTCGTAATTGACGTTGGTATTTGGCTTGACTTTTACTTTGTACTTAATTTTTGGTTTCCTTTTTTATGATTTTGTTTATGTTATCGTTTTTGTTTCGATTTGCTTTGTCTCTTTTATTTCTCGGTTCCGTTTTGTCGTGGCAGGAACGTGCTCTCCTGCTATTTCTCCGATACGCCAGTCGCTGGGGTAACCAAACCATGCGCGGTTTTATTAAAACGGGTGTTACAGAACCGGCGCGACATTGTGCACCATACATTTGCCCATGCCAATTTATCGAAGAGCATTTGAAATGCAAACCACAAGGCAAGTTGAAATATTTAAAAATCAGTTATTGGTGTTCGGCTTCCGAGTATTACGACTGAACACCTGATTGTTTTTCCCTCGCCGCATTTGTATCGGCTAATTTTTTCGATTGACATGTGACGACACAGTGACTAACCGGGTTATTTAACTTACTCTAAACAAAGACCGTTTACTAATTATTTTGGCAAAAAAATCTCCATTTTTAGAACATAAAACAGACTTTTTTAAAATTACAAACTATTTAGTACTGATATTGAGCCTAATTTTACGCAATTGAATGCGTATGCAGAAGAGAAAAATTCTAATTTGATGTGAATAACCAATTAACACCAATTTTATCATCTTGAAATTTGTTTTTAGGTCTTTGTAAATATGGTTTCGAAAGCAATTTTTATTCAAAATTTCCTCCGCTTTTGGCTAACAAAGTGAACGAATTTCTTTGGCTCAATTTCGAAATGTAAATCAAATTGAAAAGAAAGAAAACAAACGAAAAAATGATTAAATTGTCAATAACAATGAACATTGAGCAAAATTTGTAAACTATTGAACAAAATACCGAAGAAAATGTATCAAACTGAACAAACCAGTTTGAAAAAAATGATCAAAATTTAAAATGGTCCCGAAATAATTGAACAAAATTTAGAAAGGTGTCAAATTGAGAACAAACGAGCAGGAATCGAAAAGTTCAGTTGAAGAAAATAAAAAAATGTTCAGGTTGATAGGTACTTATTATTAAACCATTGGTTCGAAAAATTCCAATATTTTCCACTATATATTTACCCAAAGCAATTTAAATAATGTAATTAACGCGATTGAATCGCATGTTAACATTTCTCGCGCGAATTTCCAACTTTAAAATATTCAAATGTTTTTGTAATGGAAAATGATTTTCTCAAAAATCATTTTGTCTCTTGTCAATAATTAAAGTGTACTTATGAAATTTATGAAGAAAAACAAATCTGTATGAGTTCTGAACTACCGTCCAAAATATCTATATTTCGAAAGAAAAATTCTCATGAGTTTATGTGTAGATCAAACAATGTTGTCTCTTTGGACTAAGCGAACAAAATACATATATGTATAGAACTTGAATATTGAAAAGAGAAAAAGTAGAATTTGAATGGGGAGAAAAGAAAAAAAAATGGTTGTAGCAAACTAAGTACTTAACTCTTTATCGTTATTGGTCGATGTAGAAAACCTCCACACTCTTTTGAGCAAGGAATATACACTGAATGACAAAAAGTATAAATAGTTGATATTTTTCGAGTGTTTACATTGAGAATATAAAAATTGTTGTAAATAAAAGTGATTGAAATCAAGCCAAACGGTGTTATTTAATTTAGTTGACTGCTGACACTATGGATCTTCTCTGAATAACCAAAACGATTCTTTCCTCAAAATTACGATTTTTGATATTTTTCTTTGTCAAATGAAAATATTTCCAAAATAAAAATTAGCTATTCATTATAATGAAAAAATACAATTTTGAGTTTGGTCTCCATGCTCTTGTTGTTTATTTTTCCAATTTTATTTCCATTTTGGCATGGATTAATATCAAAAATCGTAGTTTTCTTTACTCACTCTGAAGATGATAAGTTCGAAAATTGTCCGGCTTTCTGTGATATGTGTGGTTTTGCGTTCTTTTCCAGGTGTTTTCTGTGGCTGTTGTTCTACGTTTGGCGATCCACTATCTCAGTATCCCTTCTAAATTGGATATTCCAGGCGAATTAAAATAAAAGAAATTCCAGATTGGAATTGTTGTAAGTAACCAGTGTTAGAATAAAATGGGTATTCAACAATAGAAAATCGACTTTTTTTTCCTTCTTATGTTTGGATTTTCCGTTGATACATTTAGGCAACTGGGCAAGTATCAATTTTTCAATATTGCTCTAGCTCTGGAAACAATTATTTTTCTAATGCAAACAAAGAAAATAATCAACAAAATTTCTTACACGAAAAAATGGTTTTTGAAAGAAAAAGAAAGAATGGGTATTGAACAATGAAAATTCGTTTTTCTCTTCTTTTTAATACATCAAATAACGCATTTATTAAGTATTTGTTCGTTCATTAACTACTTGTATAAGTACAAAATTCATGATTTATAATTGCAAAGTGATGAATGAATCTATCTGTAAATTGATATAATATAAAAATACATTTCTCTGAGGTTTGTCTGTCTGTAACAAGGGGATGGATTGCATATAAGTGAACATCAAACAAGACATCTCGAAATACACAAAAAAAATCGTATTCCTTAAGATTCATAAAAAAAACTAAGTACGGAATATTTTGCCGAAAAATGTGTTAATTTAGACAATTAGCAAACAAAAAAAAACGAAGAAAAAATCCAAAGATCTAAATGTTTGTGTTTGTTTGAGTAAGTAAGGCGCATAAATATCTCGTTTCACATTCGATTGCAATTAATTGGACTATGCTTAACCTAAATTGTTTAAACTAAATTTGTAATGTACAATTGATTAACTGCTTGATGAACATTCTTGAAATTGCATGTGTCTGTTTCACTAACTGGATTTGTTGTTGCTAATTGCTGAGTAGCTTCGACCAAGGTTTACACGAGTCCAGCATCCTTGGCCATGCTGTAAAATGCTGATTTCTTATTTGCGAGCAATTCCTGAGGTGAATCGAATTCAGATACACGTCCCTTGTCCAACACAATGATTTTGTCGGCATCGATAATTGTATTCAGACGATGTGCAATCGTTAAAATTGTACAGTCATTGAACTCACTCCGAATGGTTTTCTGGAATCATAAGACAGGAAGAGTTGATAAATTGAGTCTGAAACAGTATTTTTAAAATTTCGAAGTAATTTATACTCACTTGAATGAGATCGTCAGTTTCCAAATCAACGGC